AATGGAATTGTTGTTGCAACCATGCTAATGACCGGGTTGTTCGATCGTTGCACCGATAAATTCGAGGTCTTCTCACGTTTTCTCGCAATGCCTGAGGTAGATTTCTGGTGCATACATGCTTCAGATAAACAAACACGCGGGATGGATACAACTTTAAGTAAGCGTGACCGATCATAAATGCGGTATCGGTATTTCGTCTATTCTCGACACGGTATTTCGGTATTCGTCAATTTTTTTATTGAGTCTGTCTTCAGATTAAACTGTCTGGTTACATAAAGGCCAAAGCATTTTCAATTTCCGACTGTTCCTTTTTTTTTTTTCTACAAGATGAGTCCCAGGCCTCCCCATAACTACTTGTAACAAAATCACAGGTCTTGAAATAAGAAATGTACTGTAAAAGTAAAGTCTTCCAAGACGCGAAGCGGAGTAGCAGTTTTGTACTGATCGATTTTTCTTGTGAACTAAAAGTAAAAAATGCAGGTCCCGTTTGTATTGCGATTTTACCACCCCGATAAAAAGGATAAAATCGGTCGTTTTATCCATTCCTTGGGTTCAAAAATGGCCTTAAAGCTGTTACCACTGGCAGTATTCAGTCTTTTCGAAGTAAAGAAACGCTGCGGATCGTGTATCCAAAGTATCCGGTTTTGGATATGATCCAAAAATTCACCTCAGTTGTGGATCATCATTTCGATTTTAGTAAAGAAACGAACTATCCGTTTTTGGATTAAAAATCCGGATTTGGATTTTAGTAAAGAAACGCACCCTTAGTAGATCCATGGAACTGACCTAATTTGACCTGTTACCATGCCCACCCGGGGAAACCCCGGGGATCTGCATGTTTTTTCCTTGCGGTCTATTCCCCACCCCCGGGCACACAGAAGGAGACAATTCCCCACTCCCTATCTCCTGATCGACCTCATATACGCTTTTTGAGGGTATATCAATACAATAGCAAAACGAGACGTTTTCTGAACTTTCTCTAGAGTTTATTGAGAGAATGTCAATAACACATTTGATAGAACGCTTTATAAGAACACTTGACCGAATCTCTGTTTACTATATATAGCCTTGTACCCAATTTCATCCATTTTTTTAAGTTGTATTAGTTTTAAACTAGACTGAAGAAATATTTCTTTGTTTCTTTTGCAAAAAAAAAGCATTCAAGTACGCACCATTCGCCGGCATATTCGCTTGAAATCCGTTAAAACATACCTCCAAATACAGACTTTCATTTTGATAATTAAAATACTGAGGTCTGTGAACGCTAAATATCATTATATTTTACCTCTTTGTTTATAAAATAAATCAAGGAGACTTACCTTTGATGTATTCCTGTGATTTTTGGTGTGAATTCATCGATTTAGTCGTTCTTTATGGCTGTACTGGTGTTATCCCGTGTAACAACTCCCTTCAAGTTTTACAGGGGTCACACAATAAAAAACGACTAAATCGATGAATTCGCACCAAAAAACACAGGAATACATCAAAGGTAAGTCTCCTTTATTTTTTACGAAAAGGTAGAGTATAATGATATTTAGCGTTCGCAGACCTCAGTATTTTCCGGGAGTATTTTATTCTCATACAACGTCTGACCCGTCGCCTGTAACGTAACACCGACTCTCTTATGAGAAAGTAAATTTACATCCCACCCTCGGAAAGTGAGCTTGGGACACCTGTGCTATACCAGGCATTTTTCTAATAGGGTTGGGGGGGGGGGGGTACTTCCTTATAAGAGGCTAATGGGGATGNTGTTACCATGCCCACCCGGGGAAACCCCGGGGATCTGCATGTTTTTTCCTTGCGGTCTATTCCCCACCCCCGGGCACACAGAAGGAGACAATTCCCCACTCCCTATCTCCTGATCGACCTCATATACGCTTTTTGAGGGTATATCAATACAATAGCAAAACGAGACGTTTTCTGAACTTTCTCTAGAGTTTATTGAGAGAATGTCAATAACACATTTGATAGAACGCTTTATAAGAACACTTGACCGAATCTCTGTTTACTATATATAGCCTTGTACCCAATTTCATCCATTTTTTTAAGTTGTATTAGTTTTAAACTAGACTGAAGAAATATTTCTTTGTTTCTTTTGCAAAAAAAAAGCATTCAAGTACGCACCATTCGCCGGCATATTCGCTTGAAATCCGTTAAAACATACCTCCAAATACAGACTTTCATTTTGATAATTAAAATACTGAGGTCTGTGAACGCTAAATATCATTATATTTTACCTCTTTGTTTATAAAATAAATCAAGGAGACTTACCTTTGATGTATTCCTGTGATTTTTGGTGTGAATTCATCGATTTAGTCGTTCTTTATGGCTGTACTGGTGTTATCCCGTGTAACAACTCCCTTCAAGTTTTACAGGGGTCACACAATAAAAAACGACTAAATCGATGAATTCGCACCAAAAAACACAGGAATACATCAAAGGTAAGTCTCCTTTATTTTTTACGAAAAGGTAGAGTATAATGATATTTAGCGTTCGCAGACCTCAGTATTTTCCGGGAGTATTTTATTCTCATACAACGTCTGACCCGTCGCCTGTAACGTAACACCGACTCTCTTATGAGAAAGTAAATTTACATCCCACCCTCGGAAAGTGAGCTTGGGACACCTGTGCTATACCAGGCATTTTTCTAATAGGGTTGGGGGGGGGGGGATACTTCCTTATAAGAGGCTAATGGGGATGTGTCGGTGGATGGGGTCGCATTTTCACGCCTGGATTGACTAGAATGGGGTCGCACATTTTCGGATTTTGTGGGTAAGAAGATTCTATTCCGTAGGGATTCAAAATGGGAAGATTCTCGGTTAAAAAGTTCCGAAAGTTGTTGTTTATTATTAGGTATAAAGTAAAGTGTTCTTCATTCAATTTAAAAATGTTTCAATCCATTGGAAATAAGGTAGATGCAAAACTAAAATAGGAATCGCGAAAATTATATTTGCCCAAAAGTGACTAAGACGGGGTCTATAATTGGCCACAGAACAGACTATAATGGGGTAGGGGCTCCGAGCCGCCTACGGCAGATACACAGCAAATTAACCAAAAAATTAACCAAAGTACCTCCCCCCTCCCCTCCCCAAGCTTTATAAACACACCCTTGTTGTGGATCACATTTGTTCGACTTTCTTTCTGCTGCGGCTGCTAATCTCATAAATTTTGAACAGGACTCGACTCCAGTTGATCACTTGTTTTCACGCGACAATAAATCACACATGGGGCACTGATAAAAGCAAAGCTGTGATTGGAGGAGTTAACGTACCGTAAACGTGCCGCGAACACCTTCAAGGAAATGAGAGCTGAAACAGGAATGTGGTTCGATTTCCAGCAAATATCAAGAAAGTTAATAATTAGCAGAGTGTTCAGTCAATCCGATTGATACGCCTAAGCCGTCCAGAGATCAATGTCGCCCTTTCAAATCTTAACTTCGATGTCAGAATACTCGCTCAGAGTCATAGAGTCCACAATACTGTTCATTTTGATCTAAAAAATTTTTTGCTTAAAAACATTTAAAGAAATTTTAAAAAACGTGACGTTTCGACGTTGTCGGACGTCGTTATCAAGTCAAAAGAAAATAGAATTTGAATGTTCTATAAATACAAGAGAAAAAAATAATACGTCATTAAAAAGAAAAGTAACATATCAAAATACTGTATGTTACTAGTTAAACAAAGAGTTTTTTAAAACATGTTCTAAATGTGTTAAAAAATTGCTTCTTTTTGAACTGTTGATCTTGTTACTTTTTTTGTCTGGGTGGGAAGAGGAGTGGCATTTCCTTGCATGGCCTAAGCAGGTATGTGCCGCTGAACCGGGTATGGTTTTAAGAGTCTAGAGTCTTAAACAGGGGATACGATTACACTATTTAGTGTCTTGAACAGAGTGTCCTTTTTTGACATGAAGCCTTAAACATGGACGAAAACGTTTACATTTTTACGCCGGTGCATGATCTACATGTGTAGAACCAACAATTTTTCTCCAAAAAATGCAAATGTGCAAATCCCCCCGGGGGGGGGGGGGTCCCCTAAGACGGCCGCTGATACCGTAAGTGCAAAGTTAAATGATTTGTCTGTTTATTTGGGTTATGCAGATTGTTCACCAGAACGGGCTCACCGCCGTTGCTGATCTAGAGTTTCCTTTGATAAATGAAGAACTGGAGCAACAAAAGGCCGAGGAGATTCTGAAGAACAAGGAGATCTCACATTTCTCTACCTACTTGGTTCCCAGTGCTCGAAATTACTCTAAGATGTATGGCGGAGACAACCAGAAGGCTATAGAGCACATCCAAGATCTCGCAAAGACATTAAGTGACGATCAAGTGGTTCTCTACAACAACCATGCCAAATGTCTTTGTGACGGAGCGTTCTATTCACAGCTGATGCAGATGAAAGACGGATACATAGACGGACACGATGGTCAGTGGATCATGCAGCCAGAAGAACTGGAGGAAACCATGCGGGTTTACTGGAGAAATGGCTTTCAGATCCATGTACACACCAATGGAGACCTTGGCATGCAGAAGCTGCTGGAGGTCGTGGAAACCCTCAACAAGGAGTCCCCGAGAGAAAACCATCGAGTCACAGTCGAGCATGCTGGTTACTTTACTGAAGACCAAGCTGATAAAATCGCTCAGTTGGGCTTATTGGTGTCTGCAGCCCCTTACTACTTCTACACACTGGCTGACAAGTACAGCGAAGATGGTCTCGGAACTGCAAGAGCTCAAGCGATGGTTCCAATGAAATGGCTCTTTGACAGGGGCGTGGTTACAGCCTTCCACTCCGACTTCACCATGGCACCGTCGGCGCCTCTCCTGCTGGCCTGGAGTGCCATCACCCGCGTTACAGCAGACGGGAACACGTACAGAGAAGATCTCAGGGTGACACCCTATCAAGGCATGCTGGCCATCACCAAGAATGCCGCCATAATCTTGGGCACTGACGAAATCATGGGCACCATTGAAGGAGGAAAACTCGCCAATTTTACAATCCTGGACCAGAACCCACTAGCGGTGGAGCCGATTGACATCAAAGATATCAAAATCTATGCTTCAGTTTACAAAGGGAAAATGTACATGACAAGCAAGACAAGAGTCTAATGCCTGATTCTGATTGATTTCAACAACGATCTATCCAATCTTTGGCAAGAACATTACAGTTGATTTCCATTTGATTTTGCCGCCCTTAGACAAACTTTTAAAAGGTACAGGTTTAGGTTGTCAGTAGTATACATGCACAACAGTTCCATTGTATGCGTTGATTGAATCAATAAACAGCTTTAAAAATGAAAATGCAACACGATTTGCATCTGTCCCCAGTCTCACTCTCCGTTTTCATCCTCGCTCCAGACAGTTCAGATCATTATATGTTTCTGGGAAACTGCCCACCTACCCCTCCCCTAGGCCAACATTAACACTTAATTCTCCTTTAGGGCAAAATGTTAGCTTAGGGGAGGGGTAGGTGGGCACTTTCGCAGAAACGTATATTGATCCATATGGGCTGTTTTTTCCACTCTAGATTTCCTTCGTTTCAACATCAAATGTTTCCAGGCAGTGATCACACAAAATGAACTAAAGGCCCGAGCCTGGGTTCTTCGAAAGAAGGTTACGGCGACGGCGTTACAGAACTGACTTTCACAATGCTAGTAAATCAGAAATATATATATATATATATATATATTTTATGCAGCAGTTTCTGAAATTATCATATTCATATTATATGTGCTGAATGTTTTTGCATATAGACTCCAAAGCATTTCAAGCAAAAACACAGGAAACCATGGCTATTTGGAGAGCAAATATAAGTCACTAGTTATTTCTTATTCACCTTTTTCATTTTGCAGTGTGTGACTGTGAGTTCAATATTTCTAATCCTCTGTGGGGAAATACCCTTTTTCTCCAGAGTGGACTGGACCTACACATAATACACGCGGAAATAATCATTTGTCTAACTGCCGTATTGCCTTAACAGTTATGGATCATTTGGGAGGGTTGATCAAACACTTAATATCTTTGATTTCATGGGTGACAAATTACTCCTTAACTTTGGCGCAAAATGTCGGGAAATTATTAGAATTTGGACAAAACGCGGGTGAAATTATTCTCTATTGTAATTTCACTCGTCACCATTTGATTACACATACACATCCAGTCAACTAAAATTTTCTCCTCCTTTTCTAGGATACGAAACCTTTGATAACGGACGTTTCAGCGAATGCTGGGGGAAAATCGGGGTAAATTGATAGAATGGTATACTAACACGGTTTTTAGCTGTATAGTGCGGACGAAAGGGCGAATACCAGATAAGGAAGAGATATTAGTAGTTCTGACTATCAATTTTATCTTCGTGATTGTAGAGATCGATAACCGAGTTCGATAGTCCACCATCAATATTTCATATGTTCAGAGTAGACGAAGCGTAGGGAAAGTACGAAATAAACACCTGATACTTTTAAAAATATTAACCATTCCGCAGTTTGTCCGATTTACCTTTACCTTGAACTTTGCTATTACAAGACTTAACTTTAAATTATTATACAATTTAAAAAAGGATCAAAATACAATAAAAAATATGTTAAGGCATGTGACATTGAGCGCACTCACTATCATAGATAATCATGATAAATAAGAATAAAAGCTAAATTAAAAAATACACTCACAGAAAATTTGTGTTAAACATATTATCATAAAACGAAATGAGATTCCTACGAAAAATTGACAAGGAGGACGAGTCCCTGATTTTGAGAGGTAAATCGTTCCACAAGCGACAAATACGGATAAAAAAAGAATTCTCAAAAGTTTCTGTCCAACTAAAAGGGACATCTAGCGTCAGATGGTCAACGTTTCTCAGCGGTTTGATACAAGTGCGAAACGACACATAATCCATAATATTTAAATTACACATATCCATTTAACGCTTAAAAAAGAATACGCGATCATTAATTTCTCTACGACACTGTAATGGTAATAAATTTAATTTACTAAGGCGCTCGCGCTCAGAGTAATCCTTACCAAGAATGAATCTCGTGGCCCTGCGTTACACCTGTCTTAAGTTTGTATTGTTTCTTTTAGTATGCAGGGACCATACCACGCTAGGGTATTCAAGGCGCGATCGAACCCAAGTTATGTGAAGTAATTTCTTAGTTCTAACATCAGTTATTTCCTTACATGTACGATAAAGGAGTTTAAGCATCTTTTGAGCTTTGGAGCTGATAAAATCAACGAGCTTATTCCAACTTAAATCGTAACTTAACAAAATCCATAAGTCTTTCTCAAAAGAAACACGGTCTAACTTAATTCCCCCAAGGAAATAATCCCTATCAGCTGCGGATCTAACACGTGCCACCCTCAAAACCTTAACAATTTTTAACATTGAACTCCATTCCCCAAGTAACAATAAGTCATTTAAGCCATACAGTAATTTATCACAATCGTCCTGCCCAAAGATTAAACGAAAGCACTTAGCATCATCCGCAAAGAGAGGTAACGATGTTTCACGTCAGATTAATTTAGGCATGTCATTAATAAAGATTGAGAAGAGGAAAGGTCCCAGAATTGACTTTTGAGGGACCTCAGATTTAACCAGGAGAAAATCGGAAGACTCATTATCTATCACAGTCCTATGTCTTCTGCCAGGTGTTAAGTACGATCTGAACCACCAAAACAAAGAACATTTAACACCAAGGTATTCTACTTTAAATAATAGTTTTTTATGGGACACTCGCTAGAAAGCCTTGAAGAAATCTAACTAAATAACTCATTTCAAAAGCTTTGGCCAATTATTGGACCACTTGGGATAATTCTTGCTGTGACAAGGGTGGCGCAGTGGTCAGAGCACTCGCCTCCCACCAATGTGGCTCGGGTTCAAATCCCGGCGTTGAAGCCATATGTGGGTTGAGTTTGTTATTGGTTCTCTCCCTTGCTCCGAGAGGTTTTTCTCCGGGTACTCCGGTTTTCCCTCTCCTCAAAAACCAACACTTTCAAATTCCAATTCGATCTGGGACGCACGGACACGTTTAAACGAGTTCATATGAACTCCTAAGTGCTTCGTGGGTAAACAAATTACAAAATTACAATTACAATAATTGTGTCACGGTAGACTTTACCTGGCAAAAAACCATGCAGCCAATAGGTAAGTCGGGGAGAAAATTACACATGAAAAGAAAGTCCCTGTTACGAATAACATTTCACAACTGACGTTTGTTTTCCACGGGAATTTGATCTTGTGATCTCTCACAATGATAACTGAACAAAAACTTCGACTAAGTAGTAACTTATGTAAGGATATCCAGCAGATAACCTGTGTGTTTTAGAATGCGCGAAAAATTTGGTCCTAAAAAGCATGGAAAATGGCTATCAATAAGACGTTCTTGGCAAGAGGAGAGAAAAAGCTGTCGCGCAGAGCGTGCGCGAACGAGCTGCCCCATTCTTCCCGCGGTCTCGCACACATTCAGTTTACGCGCTCGAAACCAAAACCGCCAGCTACCCAGGCTTATCAATTGATTAAACAGACTGACAAAAAAACATACTTTAGCAATTTTTTTCCACCATTTTTATTTTGATGTGTTTTGCCGAGGTCGGGTATTAAACGCAAGCTTAAAAGGGCAAGTTATAAATCAAGGGGTATGGCAAATTATGAACATTTACCTGGGTGGCGTTGTCCTTAAAAACTGAAAGAAAACGTTTCAAACTTCCCTCAGAAGCTGTGTCCTTCAGTTCTGTGTAAGCAGTGAGAGTTTCTGTTCAAAAGAATTGATATAATATTTGTTAGAATCTAGTAACAACTTGGGAGGAAACTTGAAAACGTTTAGTTGTATGTTTGCTTATCAGCCTTAGCTACGAAAAAAACAAGAAAAAAAAACCATTATATACACGCAAAAAAAAACAAGAACAAAAACACAGGTCTAATTAGCAAAAAGCAACTTTGCACGTGCAGCACACTTTTTTTGTACATTTCTTTGCCGTTGTTTTGCAGGACTACGACGTGAAAATTCCAGAAACTTCCTGGTTACATCTATTGTGGAGGAAATGTCATGTGTGTTCCTGTTCGCTTTTATTCTTCACTGCCGCTTATTCTCACCTTCCTGGCCGTTAGCATTTCTCATTTTCTCACCGCCGCTTTAAAATTTTCATGTTTTTCTTCCAACGAAACTGGTCACCTTCGCTTTTTATCTCTCTCTCTCTCTAGCTCTTTCTCTATTACTAGAAATCTAGTGGAAGGAAAGACTCGGCTTTGTTGTTGTTTAATTCTTCTTTTTTTTGCTTGAAATGCAAATTTTCTTACCCATGGTGCTCCGGTGCGCGCGCTTCTCGCGCGCGAGAGCTCCGCTATAAGCATGCAAAACGTGTGCGAGCATGCTGGTAGCCACATAAAGTAGGACACAGGGCCATGGTTGGTTTTCACGTTACGTTTTTTCGGACTGATTGTTAAGAGAATATGCTGCGAACAAAATTTCCTATCCTCGTGCTTTCGTGTTCTCATTAGACTTTGCGTTGACTTTGAAACATCTGCCTACACAAATTGCTTACACTAGCTAGGAGCAAGAGAATCTGAAGACACTTTATTTCATTCAGTAGAGAGTGCACGTCCCTGCCCAGCTGATAGACCTATTCGGCTAACTCAATGTTGCACCCAATTTATTTGGGAATAAAACGTTTTGTTTAAGGAATTTCCATATCATTTAAATGTGAATGCCACATTATTATGCAAATACAGTACACAAAGAATCTTATCACCGGGAGATTTGAATTGGGTACAACATTGAATTAGCCGAATAGGTCTACCAGAGGAAAAGCCCTAGCATAGTCTATCCTAATACGCTGAGAGTTCAGTTTCACGATATTTTTTCGGCTTCATCACTAGAACAGAGAGGTGGCCTCGATATGAACTAAAAATCGTAACATCTTTTCGTCTTTCTCGGTTATCTTTGGTATTCCGCCAATAAATGAGAACGTCAGAAACAACTTCGGAATGTCGCTACAGATAATGTTTTTTTACAAACCTTCTAATGGCTTGCAAAGAGTTTCTATCAAGTTTCCTTCAAATACTCCATAGGCCTCGCTGTTAATTAAGAAAACATGTTTGGTGAGGTAAAGATATTGAGTGCAAGAATAAGAAGAACATTTATTCTCACGACCCGTTTGCTTGTCAGCCATTTTCACGATGACGGCATTTGACTACAACTACCAGAATTCATTTCGTTTTTGCTTCCTAATTTAAACAACAATAAAATAAGAAAACTACAAACTGAAGGATTCTGGTAGTTGTGGTAAAATGACGCCATCGTGGAAGTATACTGTGAGTCTGTAAGAAGAATTAATATCAATTGATCAGTGATCACAAGCATTCAGTTTTAACTTCAAAACTATATACTCCGAAAGATTGATTTGATTCTCATTACCGTCTGATTACACATGTAAGGAGAAATGAGAAATTCATCAGTTAACAACTGACGATGGGAAGGAATGTTCATTTGTTTCTTGCACAAATAAAATCTCAACAAAATGAACCGTAAATTCAACCTCGTTCCCAGCCCAGGCTTCTCCAATTTCTAAGAAAAAGCCTGGCGGCCTGATTGACGACGAGGAAGCTTGAACTACAAGCCCCTGGAATGTGAGGCCCAGTTTAGAATAAATCAATACAAAAGACCTGAAGAAGATAGTCTCCTTCGCAGCTGTTTCTGTCACGCATTGAGCGTTTCGTGACAAGTCAAAAACGCATGGTCAAGCTTTGTTATTTGTTATTTAAGATCATACTTAAGCACTGAAACTACCGTATTTGATCGAATAATAGCCTTCCCTCGAATAATCGCCCCCCTTTGACGGAAATGTTTCAAATAATCGCCTCCCTCGAATAATCGTTCTCCTTCCCACCACTATAGGTAACTCGCTATCGATACACATAGCGGTAAATCTGGAGGATGAGGCTAAAGAGGAGTCTGATCCAGCAAAACTGATCAGTGACGACGCCGAGGATATTGACAATGAAAATTAATCAAGGAACCAAATTGGGAAGACTTGAAAAGCCCATGTTCAGTTTCTTTGAAGTGATTATTATTTTTATTTAATGGGTAGAACAAAATATTTAGGGCACGACTTTCAGTGAACAATATCTGAAATAATCGCCTCCCTCAAATAATCACCTTCCCTCGAATAATCGTCCCCTTTCGGTGCGAAAAAAGAAATAAGTGCCCCGGATATTATTCGAGGAAATAGGGTATTTGCTGTTGTCTGTTATAACGGATGGCAAGGATAGGCATAGATAAGAAACTTGAAAAATATCTTAAATTCTAGGCCTGGCAAAAATCACCAAAAAAAAGTTGTATAGTTAATGCTCCCTGATGAATTTTTTTTGGCATCTTGTTGATAACTCCACAAGAGTATTTTGTGTATAGGTAAAGGTATAAAGTAATGCCTTCAGCAAAGACCTGACCTAAACCAGAAATATGCTCGTGACAATGCAACGAAATATAGTAAAAACACTTGCCTTACAGCAGACAACAGAGACTCGACATAGTCATTTTGACATTCATAAACCTGCTGATGAAATGAGAGCTCCTCTTTGAGAATTTTGATCTAAAGGAAAGAAAATTACAGCAACAACACGTCACCAATAGAAACCTTTACTGTCCTGAAATCAATTATTGTATTATGTTCTCGGGACTGGGGAGTGAGAAACTCTAAGGGTCGGTTATTTAAACGTAATCTGCTGAAGTTAGACCGCGGTTTAGTCAATCTTTGGTCCCTCAAGATCTCTTCCTTAGCGGGTCATTTTAAGACGACAAATGCGTTTCTGGTCTACGCTATATGGTTTCATGAAACTGTTCACGATAAATGGTGTTTACATAAAAGTGTTCAGCAAACTGATAATGGCTTAAAACGCGGTTTTTTTAAACACTGGCTAAACTTCGTTTTTTTTCGTACAATACTACTCACAATACTAATCTAATAGTAATACTAAGATTGCCTTCAATTGACCGTACTCCGGTCAATTGAAGTACTTACTTTGTTACCATTCTTTGTAGACGGTCTCAATCAGGTTAACCGTCTGCCGTCAAACGGCCTAAAATTTAACCGTCAACCGACAATCAAAAAAGGTCTTTTTTTACCGTCAAAAAGAGTAAAATTAACCGTCAAAACGTTTCAAAGTATTTCAAATCTCACTGCTGATCTTCACGGACTTCTTGCTCCTGAAGAATCTCTTAACAGGAAAAACCATTTCCCATGTTCTCAAAAACACTCTCTCTAGACATTGCAAGCCCTTACAACTTGCCTATATCTGAAAACATTTCGAGATTTTATATCTGAAAGGCCGAGGCAGCCTCCAAAACCTAACTGTAAACTTTAATTTTGTTTATTTATACAGAAGGTTAATGTTTAATTTAACACGTGAACTAAATTTCTACTAAGGGGCTGTTTACATGGAGGGAGGAAGATCCTAGTACCAGGAAGATCCGTTGGGTTTACATGCAGAAATTTCGGCACGTGAGTTGTCCAAGTAGAGAAGGTTAGGGAAAGAATTAAAAATGGCGGACGACAAAATCAAAAATGCAATCTGGCTCCTTCTGCTTTTTTTACTGGCGTAAATCACTACCTTTCAGCTGAATTAACACAATAATCTGCTCGTGGATTACTCCAAACGAAATGGTCGGCCTTTATTGCCTTAATTGGCCACTGAACGACCCGCCGACATTTTTGCCGCGTTTGTCCCTAGTACTAGGATCTTCCTAGCGAAAGCAGTTTTCATGGTGCTAGGATCTTCCTAACTCTCAGCTAGGAAGATCCTAGTACTAGGAAGATCCTAGCGTTAGGGACAAGTACAAAACCCTTTGCATGTAAAATGAATACAGAAAACATATGGCCCTAGGATGATCCGCCCTCTAGGATCTTCCTGGTACTAGGATCTTCCTCCCTCCATGTAAACAGCCCCTAAATAACCGTCAACCGTCAAAGCTACCACCCCATTGAAGCCCTCTTTTTACCCGGATGTTTGGATCACGGGAATGCTATATGCAGTATTTCAACCTGGGGTCATTTTAATAATACTTATTTTATTAGTATAGGTAACAGCATGATTTGTTAGTAGTGATATTTGGCATAAATACCAGGAGTGATATTTCAAAATTGTTGTACGTAATTTCACTCGCCTAACGGCTCGTGAAATTTAAAACATATTTGAAACATTACGAGTGGTATTTATGCCAAATATCACGTACAAATCGTGCTATTATTTGTTTATACTACTGCCCACAAAAAGGTTGCTTTGTAATTATCACATGTAGGTATTTAAAATTAAGCTGAAATACCACTGCTCTAAGCCAATCAAATTGCAGAAATTTCTCATGTAGTAGTTCAAGTTATTTTAATAATACATTTTAATAATACTTAAGTGTAATTTAAGAGTCAGTGTAGTTATTGTTTTCATAGTCTTCGATGTAATTAAAGGCTTAACAAGGGATTTTTATACTATTCTAGTCAGAGAAAACAGCCGACATTTCGCGACGCCACCGTCGGTTCTCCCGGGAAGTGACGTCTGCGGAACAAGCGCAGAAATTCCATAGTAATGACGTATCAGTATCAAGGTCTGGGTAGTGCATCTGGTCCCAGTTCTTTAAAAGCGGTAAAGTGCTATCCACTGAATAAATAGCTATCCGCTGGATAGGTATTAGGGAAACCAATTGCGTTATCCAGTGAGTGGTGATTTATCCTGTGGATAACGTTAATTATCAACCATTTTGATCAACTGCGGCTGATTAGTCGTCCCGCGTGGGAAATTTGCTTCAACCAATCAGAAGCACTATCTAGATCTGGGTAGTGACCCGTCATCAGTATGGAATTTCTGCGCTCGTTTCTCAGACGTCATTGAGCGGGGAAACCAGCGGTGGCGTCGCGAAATGTCGGCTGTTTTATCAGGTAATACTATTCCACATATATCACTCTATTGACTTAGTATAGCCTGGGATCAGGCTCCGCATTGGTGGAAAAAGGTGGAAAAAATCGGCGTGCGAAGAGAGCCGCCCGTCCCCACTCCCCAGACCACCGCTCGGCTTGCTTCGCTCGCCGATATATATTTTTCCTATTTCACCTCGTTTTTTGCCTTCTCCCCCACTGCGGAGCCTGGTCCCACGCTAAACTTAGTATAACATGGGGATTAAAATCAAGTTGTACCTCAAGAGACAACATGTGTTTCAAATAGCTCATGGTTTTCATTACAGCCTGCACAACTGATCTCACCTGGAAAAGTTGTTTATATTTAAGAACAGAAAAATAAGCAGAATCAGAATCGTAATAAAACGAACACATTATTCTCACCTGTATGTACATGAAATACAGAAATATTTGAAATTAAAATTTATGTAATATACAACACTAACAACTGTAGCATACGCTGACCAAAGGGATCGAAGCTCTGGGAAAGACATTGAAGCTTTCGCTTTCTCTCTTCCCCTCTTCTTTCGCTTTCTTGTTCCATTTTAATTCCTTTTGCTGAACATTTACCACCTGTTTTTTCGTTGGGAATTGTTTCGGAAAACCTTCTAGGATCGTAGGATTACATGGAAGTGCAGGTAGGTGGTGGAAAAGATTTCATAGGGCACATTATTCATAGGAATTTTCGGGTCTTTTAATGATTTTCGCGTTTTTTGCGGTCACCTTTACTGAATCGTGTTCATTCTGGTATGGTTTAAAAGATCTCTTCAGTCGGTTCAGGGAGGAGGGACAAAAGGTTTTCTTGACCGTTAAAACTGCGATGAAGTTATAAGCGCTTCAAGGGACGTAGATCCGCACATGCGGTTATGTGCGGTTTCGGGGCGAATGGGTTAATTGCTGATTCGAATAAAACGTTTTAGTTTATCAATAGTGAAGACAGCGAATGCAGGAAGCTTTAATTAAAATGTTATTCGCAGCTTAAAATTGAATGTTCACACTTTCAGATGTCCTCGTTACCTCTTGCAGTTTTTTTCTGCTCAAATCTGGCATGTGTGACATAACATTTTCTTCTGTCAAGTCCTCGCGGATAACCTTCTTCAGAGGGGGCTGAAGGATATGAAAAACAAGTCAAGCACATTAAATATGACTCCACAGGATCTGGGGGGAAGCATTCCCTACAATTGCCTATACAGAGAGGCTTCGCCGAAAAGGATACCAATTTCAGGCTTCAGTCATATCAAAGGGTAGGAATTCTGGAATTCATGAGTTGAAGTATATGAAAGGGTAGCGAAAACTATCCTTTAAGTGATTTACAGGTCCTTTGATTAAAATGTTTCAAATATACGCGTCTTATGGCTTAATCATTTGCATTCATTAAACCTGACAAGAAGGATCCTGTTTTAGGAATTTATTTTTATTAAGATGTAAGTGGGTAAGAGGATGGACCTTGTGGCACAGCCTCCCCTTATAAAACTTTGTTGCGAGCCCACCTAACATTGTGAGGCCTTCAATATCCTCCTGGGCCAAAGGACTACCAGCGAGGAAAAACAGGCCTGCATTTTAGATATTTTGATAGCAAATCAAAACATTTAAAACATCTCCACACGGTAAATTTCCTTGCTTACTTTGATATCATTAATTATAAAATGCAATGGTAAAAATTACAGTGATTTTTTAGCCTTATTTTCCTCCTGGAGGGTAAGAAACCCATATTATTTTAACCCACTCTCAAAGTCAAACTCAATTCGCTGTATTTTTTATATCAAATCTTCTTAACTTTGAGCCTATGGATGAAATCCTACGATATGACCATTAAAATGAAACCTCTTCAGCAATACCTTCGCACGGTACATGCCTCGTACCCTCTTTAATAAGGAATAGGTAACTTTAGGTTCTAGACGTCTCTCTTTCGATGTGCGCGCAGCCTGTACCCTTCCCATGGTCCCTTGCGGTTCATCACCAGTCACTCGCGTTTCGCGCTCGCCTCTGCCATGCGGAAAACGAAGCGCCTGAGGAGGAGGCTGGCATGGTACTGTTTTGTTTTGTATGAAATTCAAACTTTTGAGTCTGGACAAAATCCTACACAATGAACACTCAAGTGGAACCTCTTTAGAAGCACTTTCACATGGTACAATTTGCAAATAAGAAGCTTGCCTTACAAAACCAAAAGTGGGATTTTTCTCGAATTAATTTTTCTTTTCATACACTATTTAAGGTGCTGTTCAAAACGTTAAAGTGCAACGAACCCCCAAAAATGTTTTTCGCTAAATGAAATCTCCTTATTTTTGTGATTACTTTTGCGAAAAAATTATCGTGATTGACAAAATCCTCGCGTTTCCATGGCTGTTTAAAGTCAGGTCTCTTGTGTCCCATTACCGAGGTTCGTGGGAGCTGGGTACGAATGTTGTTGTGACGTCATCGAAGGAGGACATCTGCCGCGAACTCATGAGTAAATGACCGAGAAGCGAGAAAGGGAAAATCATTTTAACTGATTTTAAGCGAGGGGGATACTAAAACGACCAAAATTCAACGGAATATGTCTTTAAGTGATTCAAGTTCTGGGAGAAGCTTTAATTCAGAAGATTCTGAGGCAAATTTGGCCGAAGTGGAAGATGAACAAAGGAACAAAGTGATCGCGAGTCGCAAGTTTCATGTGAAAGCCTGGAAAATGACATTGCATATGCCGATCAACCCTTGCCTGATGAAGAATAGCTAAAAAAGTACGAAGAAGAAGTTGATGAAACAAATAAGCTAGAGCAAGAACTACGGGGAAGACTTGAGGAATCAGTTCATGTGGATTCTTGGTGAGTGTCGGCAAATTTGTAGTATGATCGTGTGAAGATCGAAGTAAAAGCTTATGTAAATAATCGAGTACTTGCTTGTTTGGCGGCGTGATTGCTGTGATGTATGATGAGAGTTGTTAGCTGTCGCTACAAAAAGTGTTATTTTTGTATGATTGTAGCTACCTTGATTGTTACAGGTGTTCCTGTGGAAACTGCAGCCGTGTTGTCCTTGAGAATTTGAGCGAGTGCTACTGCTGCCAGGAGCTGTAGTTGGTTGCAAAGAAGCCATGTGTAGCGAAAGTGTTCTTGAAGATATTCAACTCGAAAAGGCCTTAAGGTGTATCACACAACATCCTGGTTTTGGTCCTGTCTGCCTTCAAAAGTGGAGCTTACGTATGGCTGGCGAACGTGTCAATACCAAAGCCAAACAGAGATATAAACAAACTGGAACCGAAGAAAGGTGAGATAGTTTTTGTTATTTTTATACCGCATTGGAGTCAAGTACGATCGATATGGTACACACTCGATTTGAAAACATACAAATTCTTCAATACATCGTCCAGCCGAAATTAAATACTTTTCTTGTTGTCTTATTTTTACACTTACTTGCGTAGCATTGCCTACAGGGAGTTTTCCAGGCTTGTCTATAAGCGAATTCCTCTTCCTGCGTGTGCTTACACGGAAATAAGAAAACAATTTCCTGTCGGCAGAGATGAAACCTACACTGGATTCGAACTCGACGAAGCTGATTAAGTAAACTTTTTAGGCTTTTTCCCTTGTAAATTATTCTGTTATTAAATTGTTGATCATCTGTTTAACTGTCTGTTTTACTTCATCTTTTGTTGACGTAAACAGTAGATTCATTTTGGACTGTAGCTTTTACCACTATTTTTTTTCCTTTTAATATACAATTTTATAGATTTCAATAAGCATGTAATAAAAAAGAACTAGTGATAAATAAACAGGTAGGGTGTTTGCCCAGGGGGTACTCACGATAATGGCCTATACAGGGAGGCTCCGCCTAAAAGGGGTATCTTTTTCTGGCTTCAGTATATGAAAGGGTAGGGATTTTACTCGTTGAAGCATATGAAAGGGTAGGGAAATCTATCATTTGGGTCTGTGAAATGGCTAGTAGGGCTCACAAATGAATTTTATGGCTTTATAAAGTCAAGAAAACGTTCTATTTGTGTGATTGATTCCAATTTAAAAGGCAGTTCATTTAAAGCGGTCAAAAGAGATGCAAAGTTCTAAACAAGGTATGTGAAAGGGGTACCAAATGTCAATAGAATTGAAGGTATACGAAAAGGGCACCTTTTTCGTGAAAAATGGTATATAAAAGGGTAAGGAGTTGGACCTCGGGGTGGAACCTCCCCACATAAAAATTTGTTGAGTACCACCCCAGGGGTGTTCGTTGTAAATAATAAAAAAGTCATTATGCAATGAAAATTTATTTTTGCCCGCCAAAAGAGGCCACTGCTGGCACAAAACTTTTTTCCTCTCCATTATGAAAAAGAGCAATCTCCTATAGCCCCTTGTTACGAGAGAAAGAGAGATCAGGAGATGTGTCACTGATAAGAGGTCAGGTCCACAAATCCCCTAGTTCTAGACACAACTACCGTAAATCCTCTATTAAGCCCCCCCGGGGGGCTTATTTTTTTTCAAGCACTTTTGAGGGGGGCTTTATAGAGGGGGGGAGCTTCTTTAATTTAGCAAAACGCATCACCTGTGCAAAAGTACTGTGGTATGAGACAGAGTAGACTAATGCGTTGTACAATATTACAGTCACTGTCAAAAGTATTTAATTCAGTTGTGGGAGCCTAAAAGTAACAAAAACAAAATTCTTCTTAAAAAATGTGCTTTGGGCCTCATGTTCTTCGGTAATTTTTATGAGAATGGTTACTTGTATGGATTTGTCGTACACAACTTACAAACGAAAATCTCTGGAAAACTCCTCTTATATTTACCTTTTACCTCTTACATTTAAATGTTTTATATAAACAGCCTTGAAATTTATGATACTATAATACTATAAGAAAATGGTGACAATTGTCCACAGAGAACTAGAGCGCAAAGTTGAGAAAGTTAAGCATATGAAGTTGGAGGTCATGTGGCCGAAGACCAAAAACAATATGAACTTCCAGCCTGAATAAACCATAACTGATCAGTCCACGGTAATTGTTAATTGTTTTGTGAAGAATAAGGATTGGGGGAGGGAGAGGGGGGGCTTATTAACTTTCCTCCTCTGAAAAGGGGGGGCTTAATAGAGGATTTACGGTATACACACAGCCCGCTGACTGGTTGGTTTCAATTTATTTCCAACCAAAATCCTTTGACTTTTCTTTAATATTGCTGGTAAGCTTCCTTAAAGAGTTATTATTGCTAACCAACCTTCAAGGCTGTGCATAATTTGTACGAGAATTCTGATTTCAATTGCAAAAGGATAGATATAGCTGGCCAGTTTTGTCTGTATATACATAGACCACAATTCAATTACAATACACACATGTATATATGTAGTATAACTCAAAACTTGTACAAGAATAGTTCCCTACAGTCAAGCTCAACAGAGACAATATTCACTATGGCTTTTAAAATTCTAGCCCTATTTCTTATTCTTTGGACAGTCTTTAATGTTCTTGTGTCCTTTCATGGGATTTTTGCATTCAGAGCAATAGCGAGCTTTGTTGGGGCTATCTCTGGGAGTTTTCTGGGTTTTTTTCCCCTTTTTCTTGTATTTGAACCCGTGCTTGCAACTGGTTCATCAGGAACTAGGAAAAAAAGTAAATTGAATACAGTACAATTCAGCAGCTCTAAAGATGATAGAAAGGGTTGTGAGGATGAAAATCTTTACTCCTTTTTCCACAAAATTCATTCCTTTCTCCAATTTTTATAGAAAATAATCTACATAATATATTATAAACAGAAAAGATCACTACAGTCAAATACATAACTTATGCAGTTGTCAAAAGAAAGCCTGAAAAAATTCAGGCTTACAGGGATTCCAACCCTGATCTCTGTGATACCAGTGCAGTGCCTGTGCAGGTTGAAATTGAAATGAACTGCTGCAAGAATATGCCTGAAAACAAAGACAGGCAATATTTTCAATAAATAGGTTATACAGACTAAACTACAAAAACGTAATATCATTCAATAACGAAGGGCTTGGAATAACACTTTGTGAACAAACGTTCTGGATGTTTTTTTCTTCCAAATCAGCTAAAAAATTTTCTATGTGGCCTCTGATTCAACAGAAAAACCTTGCCGTGCATTTTTTTGCCAGTTTTAGCTTATTTTGCAAGAAAAAATGTATGCAAAAAATGCGTTGGCCTTTTTTTGTTAAAATAGGAAACAAAAGAAACCTATTAAGTTCTTCGTTTAGCAAAATCAGCAGAGCGGCAGATTATTCTTACCAGCAATACATTCCAACATAAGAATATGCTATCATCTGAATATGGCTGCCCGGAAATCTTAGCTTACTACGTACAGATAAATATCGTACCTCATCGTAAAGACTGGTCCATCTTCTGCTTTGATTTAGCCGACGACCTTGTTCCCTTTAAAACTAAGTCCGCGAAAACTCGCCTTGAAAATGATGGGCTCCTGATCGTTGATCACTAGATCAAAAGTTCGATTGTTTTTAAGCGCGCACGCTGTAAAAATGGTTGGCTCCTATTTTTAATAGCTCTCCTCTGCTGGACAAAGTTCACCCATTTCCGTCCTCTTTTAATGCTTTCCTCGCGTGAGTCATCAAAGATAAAAATTCTATGAAGCCCGATACCTCTTTGGGGATCGGCTGTTCTGCTAAAACCGAAAACAACACAGGCGTCGGGCATGATTCCAGAAGAAGATTTCAAGAGAAGTCCGTGTTGCTCGCGAAGATCGAGCTCCTTCGATGACGTCACAATAACACTCGGACCCATTCTCCACAGAGCTCGGTAGTGGCCGTAAGAACCGCCAAAATTTGAAACTTTGAAAAATTATTAAAAAATAAGGAAAAATGCTATGACCAAAATTTTTTCGCACAAGTAAGCAGGATGATAAGAAGATTTCGTTCAGCGAAAAAAAAATTGGGGGGTTAGTTGCACTTTAAACATACCCAAGGTGCTGCAGGATAAAGTATTGACAGACCCAACAGGTCTTCACAACAGTCTCGTAACATGTTGCTTACTGCTGTCACATGACCTGCTAGCCGTTCTCTGATTGGCTGTGCTACGTGTTCACTTGTTACGACAACTGATGTTAGAGAGCAATGGTTTTGAAGAGACTCCATCAGGCAAACCATGTTCTTGTACAGTTTACAGAGCTTAGATTCTAGTCTAGACTAAAATGAAAGTTGGATAAGTTAGAAACATGGTAGATTCACGATCAATACCTTAAATTGTGGCCCACTCAGTGAGGTTTGACTATAATTTAAAACAGACTTAATAGGATTAAGGATTAAGACTATTAACCCGATGGAGGCAAATCAGCTGGCTGTATACAAGATAGCTCATGAACACCAGGAACAAATCTGGCTAGCAGTCATGACTTGACTTTGAACTGCAAGTCCAGCACTCTGACCACTCAGCTGCCCTCCCTCCCTGCTAACACGGGCCCTCGCCATTATGAAGAGATAGCCCCCTACATACATTCCAAATCTCTCGGATGATGGGGAGACTCCTGAATGCTGCATAAATCCCCCAGTTTCCTGTTTCGGTGACCAAATCTCCCCCTTGAGGTTTTTTTTTTGTCTTAGCTTGGAATTTAGACAAATTTCCCCAAAATTCAAAATGCATTTGATTTTAAAGCTCATAGTATGGCTTTGGGAGGCATTTTTTATCGTAAGAGGTATATGTAAATCACTGTTGAGCCTCACACAAAATTTCTGTGTTTACAGCAAGGGGGTGGGCTAATACTGGTAGAGGGGGGGTGGGGGGCGTGGTTGCCAGGGGAAGCCAAAAAAATAGTCCACATTATATTTGAGATCACATGAGGTTGACATCAATATCTCCACTTCAAAGAAACGTTAAAACGAGAGTGACCATATAAATCTGTCTACCCTGACAAAAAATCTTGAGAAGTGTGAGGTGAGAGAGAGCTGAGGCCATTATAAAGAGTTGGCCATTATAAAACACTGAATCAAGACTTATCAATATCCTACCACATGCTTTAAATTAAGATGATCCACCTTCCCACTACAACAGTCCAGCAGAGTCACAGCTTCCTCCGGCCTTCCTTTTGATTGTTTTAAAAAATCACCCATGTACAAGGCAGGCAAGCAAAGATCATCACAGTCAGTATTCTGCAAAAAAGCATGCCAGGATGAAATAAAAATTCTGAATCAGTAATTTGTAAAATGACTAAAAGAAATAAGAATTAAAAGTATTGAAGAGAAGTACAGTGAAATGGAATTAGCATGGTACCTCCTTGTTTTTGTACAAGTCGATCCTTAACTCCTCAATCCTGTATTCCAACTTTTGCACATATTCATGTGATACAGTCACATAATTGGAAGAACTGTCTGACGGATAAAGTCCCCTACAAATCAAGCGCAACATTTTTTAAAATATGAAATAATTATTTTTTGAAATAATAATTTTTTTTTAAATAACTGACCCAAAATAATGCCCCACCCCACCCCCCACCCACCCAAAATGCAAAGTTGGTTTTGACTACGGTGGAACTATTGTATCAAATTATTAAGGCAGGCATTATTTTTATGTTACATTGCTGCAAAAAATACACAGTACATATATTTACGTTTTAGTCTTTTTTTATTATGATGATCCTAAATTAAAATATTATTTCTTTTGAACATCACAATCAGGGGATAACAAGTTAGGCTATGATTATGTCAGGAGGTAATATAATTATTGAAATGTTAAAGCAACCCAATATTAAGCTGATAAGTAGACACTAAAGTACTCAACATTTTTTGCAAAGCAACCTTTTGGATTGACACTACACTGAAGCCCGACTGTCCCATGGAAGTTACATTACTAAGTATGCTTACTTAATTAACTCATCTTACTTACTGAACAGTTTCTCTCAAGTTTAAAAGTTTATTTTCTACTTCTAAAAAAATATGTTGTCTTGCTTGCAGTGCACTAGATTGAAGGAGAACCTATGAAATAAAAGAAAATAAACAATATTTTATATCAAACACCTGCATGCAAGATTAAGGGGGAAAGTAGTGCGAAATGGCTAAAAGGAAGGACTTACACCAGGGATTATGGTTACTGGAAGTCACATATATCACTTTAAAGCTGCAGCAGTAAACATCACAATCAGTTTTACAATTTAAGTTTTGTAATTTCTGTTTTGTTGGCGGCCATCTTCAAACAAGAGAAACATTTGGTGGCAGCGGCAAGTCATGGTAGGCTGAAAGAATGTAATCAAATGCGACCGCTAAGCGTTTTCTTTGGATTGAGCTGGCTATGTATTGATATCTAACTTGGAAACGAAACCCTACAACTCCAAAATTTTTTTGGAGTTTGACTTTTCAAGAAAGCATGACAGCGTGAGATCCTGAGACTCACGACAAAAAATGGAGATCCAAACAGGAGAAAACAACTTAGAATTTGCAAACATAATTTGTTGTTTCTTACCTGTCGTTCAAGTTGAATAACTTGTGACTTAAGTAAGTTTACCCTCCTTTCATCAAATTTCTCCAAAGGAGTCTCTTCTACTAGCTGTTTGTATAGAGACCTTTAAGTTAAGGTAAAATCAGTGTATCATCAGGTTTACTTAAAATATCATTCTTACATTCTTGTCAATTGAAGTTTTCAGCATTTCTTAACCTAACATTTTAGCCTTGCAGATTCAACTCTGCTGTGGTCACACTCCAACATGATGTACACAGTCACGGCATTCCTTTAGAGTCATGATCAGATTTAGAATTAACTCTTAAAGGCATATTCCCTGCTAGCAGAGGCCTCTTTTCCCTAGTAATTTGCTGGGGCACAAGCAGGAGGAAAAGATACCTCTGCCAGTAATCGTAACTGTAGATTTGCTGAGGCGACCCACCATCCTATGACCAGTATGAAGACACGTTAATGTATCTCTACGTTAAGAAAATGAAACAAAGCTTAATTTTAATAAACTGAACTCCAGAAGGTACGCTTACAGCAGCCATGTTTGTTAAGTTGTGCGGGCTCGTTAAAATATCAGCGGATATTACTGTCAAATCAGGCACACTACGCAGCCGGCTCAAATTTATGCCAACAAACAAATTATTTACAGAACATGCACTGTGATAGAGCTGTTCAAGATCGGGACAGCAGTTCAAATCAAAGACAGATGCAAAAGTTGGCAGAGGTCTCTTTTCCTTCTGCCTGCCCCAGTGAATTACAAGGGAAAAAAGGCTCTCTAATGCTAGAGAGGAGGAGGGTGACTTAAATCCATTGAAGGCCCAGGGGTCTCAACAAAAATTGAAGTAGCCAGCAGGTTTGAATCGAGTAACCAACTGAAACAACAAGGGGCCGTCAGTCCCCTTCTCTTAGGGGGGAAGAGGGGCTCTGGGTGCGTCCTGCCCCAGAAAAGTTTGACAAATGCGATTTCAGCTTTCTGGGAACTAAATTTGAGGACAAAAGAGCGTGTTTTTCATTCAAGAAAATGTAGCTTTCAATTTATCAGTAACACAATCAATTCCTAAATGCAATGAAAAATGATGAAAGGTACTTTTGCATGTAAACAAATTCTACGTAAACCTATAAAGAAACTTGTGAAAAAATGACTGAAATATAGCATTTACATGACTAAAGCATTATGCAAAAGGAGTGGGCCTTTATGAAAACACATAGTAATTACAATTTCATTCAGATTTTATGATATACTTTTTGTTTACAACGTTATTCAAACCGGTTGCTTCTTCTTTCTAGAAAAAAAGTAGCCGACCTCTATGAGCAAAGAAGCTGATGCGTTTCGTCCGCCGTCAGTGCTTGTTGAAACCCCTGAAGGCCTATCCATATCAGTTTTATAGGTGACGACAATCATGACAATGTCTAGTTATGTATATGTTGTAGTTAATTTTTTATCTCAGGTAATTTTTATTTTTCCATTGTTTTTGAGTATGGTAATGAATGCTAATGATTTTGAAACAAATTAAGGAAAAACAAATTAAAATTACCTGAAATAAAAAATTAATTGCAACATATATTTCATGCTTTATACCTGATAAATAGCAGTTCTGCTTTAAGTTCACTGTTTTCTCTCCTTAATTGCTGCACACAATAAAGGAACGTAAATTAAATCTGGTGCAAATTATGTATAATGTGATTAAAATAATTATGTATGTTCATAGTTAATCAATAAAATTAAGAAGTCAGAAAATAAAATGACCCTATCAGGTTTTTTTAGTGAAAAGATTAACCCACTTTTTGAGATGATTTTAACTTAAGAATGAATTTTTAATTACCTACATTAACCTATATACATGTAAGTATACACTCCTAGTAGCCACGATATGGGACTGGTTGAAATTAAATTTAAGTTAATTTTTTTATCTTGGTTTATGATTGTCAATTTCCTTTGGTCCATGGATAACTTGAGCATCAACCTATACATGAAGCTGGGCTGGAAAAATTTAACCTGATTTGATTTTAACCTGAAACAGCAGCACGTTGAAAAAATAATATAATTATGCTGTTTAACAGCTCAAAACTCTGTAACATGGTGTCAATCTCGAGTAAGTAATCTTAAGTAAAATTATTTATTTTATTAACTCTGGCTCTCTGGATTCTCAAAGTTTTTGTGCTAATTTCATTGAAATAAAGTTGATTTAATAACACTACAGTGTAATTTACTAAATGGTTTTGATTGGCATACCATGTAATTTATCAGGAATAGTCACTTTTGTTATTATACACTAGAAAATTCAAGAGGCTTGAGGAGTATTTCCTGTGTTGCATGCTGCAGACATCTTTAAACCAGATCAGATTGAATCAATAATAATGTATCATTTAAACTAAACTGATCAAGTCTGTGAGAAGAAAGTATTCCTTACTTCTAACTCAAGATGGCATTTTTGTAACCGTCTCTCGTTCACACCTGTCTGTGTCTGTGTCTCTGGAGTTGAAAGTGCACTAAAAACACGAGCATTTCTAGATGAAACTTGTCTCAACTCTCGAGTAGCACTTCCTGGAGATCCTGCATTCCTGGACTTGAGATACAGAAATATATTTACATTAGAAAAGATGATGGAAGAGATGGGGGATAGCAAAATCTCCAGGCCAGCGTGTGGAAAAACCTTACTTTTTAAAATGCAGAGGAGGGAGCGGGACCAGACCCCAAGGCCTCTCAACAATGATGTAATCTTAGCACGTTAGGCACTGGACGTGACACCTGCTAGCGCAAAAGTGAACAAGACTTCAGTGGAGGTCAAAAGCTTTTATTAGTTTTCAATTTTATCTCAATTTTAAGTTTAAATTTTTGCTCATTCATGTAGAAAATCAAGGGTACTAAATAATCTCAAAAGGTGTAATGAGAATTAAGGTGACAAAGGTTTATGACAGTTAAACTACGCACCTACTTTTCTGGCCTACTCAGAGCTGCCAGCTCTCACAGTTTGACTTTGTCAGTTTTGAAACTGGAGTATCTACTCAAAGACTCACAATTTAGCCTCTAGATCTCATGTGTCCTGAGCCAGAGACAAATCAAACCTCTGATTAAGTCTCTCTGCAAAATGGCACCAAAATCATTGTTCTTAACCCATGACTGTGATGGGCCTGTTAAAAAAGCCATAGTCAATAATTTTGCCAATCAGGTTGGAAGGAAATTCAAGACGCATTTTTTGGTAAATTATCAAGTGTGTTTAGGGATTCAGAACAAGGATCTAGGTGATGCTTCACAGAAGTGACTAACCTGGATCAAGATCTCATGGTGAATCAGAAAAGTTTGAGATTGCCAAAAATTTCAGGAATTCCACAAACACACACACATCCCTCAAGGGGAAAGGGTTTATATGGTTAGGGTTAGGGTGGTGGGTTGTTTCTGGAGCTTAATGAGACCCTTAACCTTTTTCAAACAAGAAATATAATTTTTCTGATTCTTCCTTGTAAATTATTTCAGACCTGGCATCAGTTATTCAAAGGGTGAATAACACTATACCAGACTGGATAAATCTCTATCCAGATAAAAAACATACCCAATTCAGGCTGCAGCTTGCTTTCAGAGAGTACAATTAAACCTTAAATTCCACTTCAGACCAGAATAGTTTCGACCTGTGCCCAATTTCAGACCAGATGGGGAGCAAAAACCATACCCTTTGGCCACAAAAATTGGGCTATTGCATTAGTTGATTGTTACCTACACCCCCAGGTTTGAGGACCAATGGGATTCTTCAAGGGTAAGTTTAACAAATTAATTGAGGATTTCTCTTGGGGTAGACAATACATCCCAGCCATTTTCCAAAATAATTTATAGGAAAAATAGGAGCAAAGCACAAGAATATAAGAGATTTATAGGATTTTAGGACAAAAGTATGGGTAAAGTGGAATTTTATAGGCAGATTTCCAGACCCACATCGAAGAAATGTTAGTTAAAAAACTATTTAAAAGCATCGACGATAGATGGGTGTGGGGAAGGCGCCTGGTGAAACTGAAGGGAGCTGCAAGCAAGCCTAGAAGGTAGGCAAAATGTCCCTCTGAGAAGCACCCACCAGGCACCATCACACTTAGGAGTGAGAACCTCAGTGGAGAAAAGCTCAGATACTAATACCAAGACAAACATCCAAAGGGCAGGGGAGGCAGGGGGCAAAAACAGCTAAGGCTACTGCATGCAAAGGTAACGTGAGCAAATGATTGACTTCTGTGAAAGCGCTATAAAATTACCAAAGCCCTGCTAAAGCCCCAGACTACCCCACATGCAATTAGTGGTGGAGACTGCTGGCCAGTATTGTCTTGTGTTTAACCTTGCCTAAATTACATTTAGCCACATTTAGTAACTCTTGCATCATTCCTGAAACATCGTTACATGTGTTTGACACTAGTTTGCAATGTGTTCAAATACGCGTAAATAAAAACACATGTAAATTAGGAAACAGCAGTTGTCAACAGTCACATGATCACTACTTACAACCCCCCAAAAAATCTCCAACCACTTATGAGAAGTTAACATAACTAATATATATATATGTAAGTGAAGCATGATGGTCCAGATGAACGTAGTCCTGAATAGCACTGTTGCTGACAGTGACTGATCATTCGACAACTGTGTGGTAGTCATCTTCAGAGTCAAAGTAAGTTGTATCATGTCAGTTGAAGGCGTTAAAATTCTGATTATTGACCTGAGTAGTCAATTAAGTCGCGATACTTTGTGACTGTGAACTTCTAATTTTAATACATCCACTTTTCTCATTAACATCTACCGTACAGCAGCCCAAAATAGTCAAACAACAGCATTATTAAGACAGCTTCAACAGTCCTCAATTATATGAAGATGGGTTCCAGATCAAGTACTGAAAAAATAAAACTTCCTTATGACATCTGGATATACAATCAGGTAAAATTTAATTTTGTGATAAACTTCACATCCACATAAGAGTACAGTGGTGCACACTAAATTTGTGAGTCACAGTCTTTCACATTGGCATCCATGATTTCATGGAGTTTGGATTGCTGGACTGATATTCCGACGATTTGTATATGTTACAGGTCAAAATTTAACTGAGAAAACAGACCTGAAACTTAATTCACCCAGTTTCCTAACCCTAATCACTAATCTTCAGAGTCATTCAATGCTCTGCATTCGCCAAACGCCAAATACAGAGCGCTGAATGACTCTAAAGTTCAGTGATTAATTAGGGTCAGGGCATATCTGATCAATATTTTCGATACTCGATAGAAATCAAACAGAATCAATCGTAATCGATACTAATCAATCGATTACTATCGGGAATCGATAGAAATCGATCACTTGCGTCTTTGTGATTATCAATTTTGAGTGATTTCTGTAATTAGCTATCGACTTTATCGATTTGTTTGACAAAGAGCGAAAAGAAAATGAACGAAGATTCTCTTTCATAAAGTTCTCAGTTTTATGCTAGAGTGAGTCAAAACTCATTCAAACTAATACACTGTAGTCCAAACTGAACTGATAAACATTCCCTTTACACTTTATTTAAGATTGACTACAGGATTTTTAATAAATTTTGAAACTGAAAAGGATTAAAACATAAACAATGCAACTGTTATGAAACTATCGTTTCCGCCTTCACAATTAAAGTCAAGCTTGTTGTTCCGATATCGAGTCCTCTTCTCGTTCTGTTTCATATTTCAACATTAACATCCATTGGAAAGAGATGTAACATCATCTTTGTCAACAAAGCGGATTCGAAGATAAGCTTGAAGCTAAGTGTTATGTGTTACGCAGTCTTATGATAAGATCAGATCATGTTTTGATTTTCGATTTCCATAGATGTGACAAAAAAATTGGGATTATCGATTTCAATGGATCAAATTGACTAACCAATAGACAGATATCGAGTACCATCAAGTATTATCGATTAATCGATTACATTTTCCATGATCGATTTCTATAGATTAGATATGGCCTGTTAGGGTTAAGAAACTGAGTGAATCAGGTTCCATTTAGGGTCATTATACTAAGAAAACTGATCTGAAACTTGATTGACTCATGTTACTGACCCTAATCAACAAACTTCAGGGTCTTTCCGCGTTCTGCAAATTCTCCTGCTGCTTCAGGGATGTTCTTAAAATTGCATTCACTCCTGACAGGAGTGAATGCAATTTTAAGGAAATTATCTTCAAGGGTAAGAAGAAAAGGCAATTCCTCAACCGGAGTACCGACATTAAATGCAACAGCCCATTATACAATGTATCTAAACAGCTTAGGATCAAAATTAGGAAGCTGATATTTTGAGACAACCCAGTCTTTTTGAACAAACAGTACACTTACCTTGACAATGTCGTTTTTTCCTTTGTTTTGACCCGAAAAACTTGTCAGTTTAGATGACAGCGGTGTTTTCTTCATCCAAACGTAAGGAAGTTCGCGTTCTCAATGAGACTCGTCGAACAGATTTACGATAAGAAATCTCAAACTTTCTCAAAACATTTCCCTACATAAAAACCGCCATTTTGTCGAGCAAGACTGGGAACGAGGGCATTAACAGTGCAGTATTTTAGGGAGGGGTGACAGGGGCTGTGGAGTTCAGTTACACGGTTCGGAATAAACACTGTTCACTTTAATGACGAAATGTAGTAGACATGAATTTCCCTTGAGTGAATGTAGACCAATTCCTAAAAGTTTAGACTGCGAGGACTGTGAACATTACTCTGGGGTGGCTCGATGGTCACATGTGCCACTGCAGTGGGGCCATGCGGGTACAAAAGTACATTCTGATAAATATTAAAGGAAAGTCAAACCGCGCTATTAAATTCTCTCTGTCAGTTTGTCATTAGAACTTACCGATTAGTGAGTTCAATTATTGAAAGATAAATTTTTTGGCATTGCCAGGGCCAGCGAAACTTGCATTTTTTTGCAAGTAAAATATCTCCGAAAAAGCAAGCTTTAACTTTCACCTCTAGGAAGGTAGCACTTAGGGGTCGACCATTTCACTTTTGACGGGGGGTATGTGTGATTTGGCTTGGGTAAGAACTTTTTTCCCCAAACTTCTGGTGATAGATTTTTTTCCTGACATACAAAGGTGTAACATTTTCTTCCAGCATTATACACCGTTATTAAAGATTTTTTATTCAGTGTAGGAATTTTTTTTGCGCTAGGTATTTCATAGGAAGAATTTTTTCCCTCGAAATCAGTCTGCAGAAATTTTTTTTAATCACCCATTCACCACCCCCTCCCCCGCCGCGTCAAAAGTCATTGGTCGGCCCCTCAGCGGTTGTGAAGTTCGGGCGCAAATTAGCCTGTGAACAGGCCTTTAGTCGAGCGGGGATTCTATTCTCCAAACAGGAAGCCTGTTCACAGGCTAGGCGAAAATACATTCTTTTGCTGTAACGAAAAAAATCCACACAAGATCCATCATCAGATCATCCTGGAACTTAGACAAAGAACTAATATTTGGCTAGTATTCCGAAAATACAACATGAAACAGTTCTCTGCTTGCCTGGAAGTAGTTTCCGTTTCGGTATCCTTTTAATCAAACGGGAGAAAATCAGAGACCTGCGAGAAAAGGAGCGCCAAATTTCCTGCTCCTTTCTGCACAGTGCGGCGAATGCCGCGCTTCGCTGAAACGATAAGGAAACGAAAGCTACGCTTTCTGCGATATTCTTGCGAACTGAAAACCTAAAAAACACTTTTTGTTTGATTGGTTAAAGGCTTTTGCAACATGTGGTGGCTCTTAAAAGAGCCGTTGGTTTGATGAGAAGCTATACAGTTTAGGCGCGCTCTCCGCGGATTCGGCGGGCAAGCTGTATGTCTTTGGGCATGATGGTAACCCGCTTGGCGTGGATGGCGCACAAGTTGGTGTCTTCAAAGAGACCAACGAGGTAAGCCTCGCTAGCCTCTTGAAGAGCCATCACGGCGGAACTCTGGAAGCGCAGGTCGGTTTTGAAATCCTGAGCGATTTCACGAACAAGACGCTGGAACGGCAGCTTGCGAATCAGAAGTTCAGTGGACTTTTGATAACGACGAATCTCACGGAGGGCGACAGTCCCCGGCCTGTAACGATGGGGTTTCTTTACACCGCCAGTTGCTGGAGCGCTCTTTCTTGCTGCTTTGGTGGCAAGTTGCTTGCGAGGGGCTTTTCCACCAGTTGATTTACGAGCAGTCTGCTTAGTACGAGCCATCTTACACGAAATAATCGATGAAGGAAGAAGAGTGGAAAAGGTGAGCGCTACTCACATTTATACTTCGCGCCTGCATCGGTGATTGGTTCTTTTTCGCAAGCGTTGATTGGTCAAAAAACGGAGTAACTGTGTTTTGATTGGCTAGTAAAACGTGCACAACCATTGGTTCGCTTATGCAACCTTCGATCCATATTTCCATCGAAGCTCGAAGGTCTAAAATTGAGTGTATTGTGTCCTGTGAATGCAAATTTATCTATATTACTTCAAAGCTACGCTTTAACATCCCCCAACAAACAGCTACCTCTTCCTTTGCAAGGTAACATTATCAAGTCCTTCAAAATGAACCGTTCTTTATACCCTGCATCGTGTCCCCCTATTGAAAACATGGTACATATCCCTACCTGCATAGTGATGGTGGGTTTACCTGCTAGAGGCAAAACTTACATCTCTAGAAAACTCACTAGATATCTGAACTGGATCGGCGTCAACACGAAAGTGTTCAATCTTGGGGAGTATCGTCGAGAGATGGCTGGCGCCCACTGCAAACACTCCTTCTTCGATCCAAACAACGCAAATGGCATGAACATCCGCGAAAAGTGCGCCGATCGGGCACTGGAAGATATAACCGAATGGCTGAAAGGAAAAGGTCAGGTGGCCATTTTTGATGCTACTAACACCACTCGAGCAAGGAGAAAGAAGGTCCAGGATCACCTCGATGCGAACGGTTTCACAGGCTTTTTCGTGGAATCTGTTTGTGACGATGATGAGATTATTCAGAGCAATATAAAAGAGGTTAAAGTGAACTCCCCAGATTACCAGGGGGTCAACCCAGATGAGGCTTGTCAAGATTTCCAAGCTAGGATCGATCAGTATAAGACCCATTATGAACCCCTTTCTTTGGTTCATGATCAGAACGTGCCCTTTCTAAAAGTGATTGATGGAGGGAAACGCTTTCTCATGAACAAAGTGGAGGGCTACTTGCAGAGTAGAGTACTTTACTATATAATGAATCTGCACATAACCCCCAGAGCTATCTACTTGTCTAGGCACGGTGAGAGCATGATGAATCTCCAAGGCAGGATTGGCGGTGATTCCGATCTAACTGAAAGAGGCTGGGAGTATAGCAAAGTGCTGGGGAAGTTTGTGAAGGAGAGCATGCCTGCCGATCTGAAAGTGTGGATCAGCGAAAAGAAGCGGACCAATCAGACTGCCAAGTTCATTGATAGACCTATTGAGCAATGGAAGGCCGTTAACGAAATTGATGCTGGAGTATGCGAAGGAATGACATACGAGGAAATCCAGGAAAAATACCCTGCAGATTTTGCTCGAAGAGATGAGGATAAATTTCATTACAGGTATGCACGAGGGGAGTCCTATGAAGACCTTGTTGCTCGTTTGGAGCCAGTCATCATGGAGCTTGAAAGGCAACACAATGTGCTTGTGATTTGTCATCAAGCTGTAGCCCGATGTCTCTTGGCCTACTTCTTGGATCACACATCTGAAGAGCTACCCTATTTACGTGTACCTTTACACACCGTAATCAAGCTCACCCCTGTCGCATATGGTTGCCGTGTGGAACAGTTTGACCTTAAGGTGCCTGCCGTCAACACACACAGAGAAAAGCCAAAGATTGTAGCAGTAAGCAGAACAGCTGAAGATGCTTTAATGACTGTTCCAGAACATGACTAAGTAAATGCACAGAAGACAGGTACTTTAGGGATTTTTTGTTCATTACATTCGTGTTACAACCATTCAAACAAAACAAAGCTAAAGTCAAGGGGCTGGCCATTTTGCTGTCAGGCCATTTTCATAATCTTGACTGGTTTTGGACGTCATTTTTCATATGAGGAAAAGGCCTCTTTGGGGTCATTTTGATACATTTCAAGAAAATAATACAAAGCAGTTATTATGAGGGTGACATTGAACTTGAATTAAACAACCATGAGTAGCAAAAACCGATCTTATGGACACGGCATGTAGATAAAGTACGTGGTGAACGAGTTGTAGCTAGAACATCATAGTTTCCGCAGCAATCAAGTGTCAGGTCACTTTCACAATACATGTATGTAAAATTAATGGAAATTCACTTCTTAAAAACTAGGATGAACTGTGGGGGTCGATTTGAAAATCTTCTAACCTTTCTCCAAATTCCCCCCCCCCCCCCCCCCGGGAAAAAATAACCCCCCCCCCCCCCCCCAAAGGGAAAAAGGAAAAAGGAAAAAAAAAAAAAAACCACATTTCCTAAGGGGTTTCTGAACTTGGCCGTTGGTGAGAATTTTTTTGAAAATTATATGTAATATAAATTACTTACTAAATTTTCGACACAAATGAACTGTATGTAGCCTTTTAAAAAAATGTATTTGAAAATATAGAGAAATCACATTTTTTAAAAATGGGTTAAACTGGTGGGGTGTTATGAAAAATTTTTTAACCTTCCCCCAAACCCCCCCCCCCCCCCCCACAGGTAATAAATGACCAGCCCTGCCAGCCCCAAAGGGAAACAGGTAAAAGGTAAAACAGACAGTAACTCATCTGCTCATGAGCATTCTGAAATTGGCCGTTGTGAAGAATGTATTTAGAAAGTTAATGTATAATACATTAACTTCCTAAATTTAATAAAATACAGTCTTCGTAATGGCTCAATTTCAGAATGCTTATCAGCAGATGAGTAACTGCCTGTTTCATCACTGTCTGAGCTTGTTTTAGAGTGGTTGTCAAATATATCCCACTTTTTCTTCTTACATTTGGCAAAGAGTAACATTAACTGATTCAGAACCACATGGAGAATGAATTTCTTCCTCAATAATGTAATAAAAAATTAGTGCTTTTTTGGGCTTCATCAATTAGATCTTTTTTGACAAAAGAGGACAACGGTTTCTGTCGTTTCTCATGCTGTGTCCCCTCTGCTCCTTGTACATCATTTTTCAATAGTTTAATAAGGCAATGGTAATATTTAGCATGAATAAAAAGAACACTGAAAAAAATGGAAAAATATGTTTGCAAGAAGATGACTTTGGAAAAAAAATGTTTGCAGAGACATATATCTGTTAAAAAAATGTTTGCAAAAGATAATTTCTCATCCCCACCCCTCCCCCCCTCCAGAATAATAATGGTCCTTCCCTAACAGCGATGTGCAAGTACAAATTAAATGTAGATATAAAAAGATATTATAACCTCATCAAGAAAACAAAAAAGCAGCCATGAGTAATTAAAGTGGTCGGCATCAAGTGTTGTGAAATTCACAAGGAGTGGTTTATGAAAGGTCTGATGATCCCAATGGGAACTGAACTAAACAATGTAATCAACAACTAAAATAAATACATTCATCTCAGGATGTTCCATAGTTTTTTCTAGCTGTAGGGGGATTCATATGACTGTTGGATTTTTTTATTATTTTTTAAACCTAAAACAAACTAGAAATATCAATTAAATTAAAACTAGAAATATCATGATAAGTAATAACATGTACGTTCAAAAGCTCAATGCATTTACAACGTCATTAATTGACATTTTTTTACATGGAGTACAAATTTACATAAAATTATTTAATGAGTCTAATCATAGTTAACTGAACTTTATTACCCATTTGTTATCATAGCCTTTATTTAAATTGATGTATTGTATTTAATCAATTAATGGTGACTTGCATAATCATTAAAAATGCTATTTATGTGGGAAAAAATGTCCTCAGACATATTTTGACTTCCCTTTGCCACATAGCCTGTGAACAGGCCTTTGGTCGAGCGGGGAACTAGGGAGAGGGAATTTGCCACAAGGAATCTGGATTCTGGAATTAGAAAAATTTTGGCTTTGTTTCATCTGGAATCCTGGCCTTGGAATCCAGAATACAAATCAAGGAAAATCTAGAATCCTGCGTAAGATTGGAATTCTAAATTCAAGTTCCAATGACAAGGAGTCAGGGATCCACAGAAAGTAATCCAGAATCCAGGGGTTGTGCCGCTGTGAAGGGTATGGTTTTCAAGCAGTTTACTCTGGGATGAAGTATATAAATAAGAGAGTTTGGGTTTAGAATAGGGTATCATTTTCCATTTAAACTGATCAATTGACTGAAGATTTTAGTCTAGACTAGGATACCGGAAATTGCCACTCAAGAATATAAAAAAATCGAATCGGTTTTGTTTTGACTGGACTATGCTAGCGACCTCAGTTTTTTCTGGAAAACAGCTACTCTAGGATGGGGGGGATTTGGGGAGTTTAGTCTAGTATAGTGTAGCAAAATTCACTTGAACTAGCTCTGGTATAGGCTAAGGGTCCCAGCAGCACATCCCCTCCCGAAAAGTCCTAAAGTACCCCGCCGGGGGAGGGGGGGGGTCACTTTAGCAGAGACCCTTCGATCTTTCCTAGTCGGAAAGATCGAAGCGATTCTGCTGGATTCTTCTGTTTTGGAAAAAGACTTGAAAAAGTCTTTTTTGCCTCCTAAAATCCATACGAACCCCGTAAACAGGTCGCGAAATGAACAGGTTTTTTTGTCTTAAAAGGGGTGAGGTTTGAAGGCCTCCGCAGCACTTCCGCAGCACACCCCTGCCCAAACTCCCCACCCACCATCTTTGCTAAATTAAATAAAACCCCCCCACACCCCCCCCCCCCCACCCCCCCACCATCCTCCAACGTGCAAACCACAAAATCAAACACAAAATAACAACAAAACAACAAGTCACCTCTTCATCTTCCCCCCCCCCCCCCAAACGTGTAAGTGCACCGGGGATGATAAAATAATAATGAATATTAACAAATAAAGAAGCCTTGACTGTGCTCTGTTCTGTTGTAAAGCACGTAGGAAGCTTCCAGTTTTTTCCATTCAACCAAATACACCGAATATCTGAAATATGTACCGGACACTGTTGTTTTTTTTGCGCTCCAAGTCCGGACGATTTTATTTCATGAGACGAGCCATACCATCAAACAAAAAAGGGCAACAATAACAAACAAAGGAAGCTGAGGTATTGGTCATTGCTTTCTTTTTTATTGGTGGCTTCTAAAGAAGCCGTTTTGTTTTAAAAGTTTTTTCGCTGGTTTTCTTCACTTATTTCGCGGCTTTTGTCTTGGGTTTTTTAGCCACCTTCTTCTTTGGCGCTGCTCGCTTCTTTGGGCTTTTCGTTTTCTTCTTGGCGGCTGATTTTGGTTTCTTAGCAGCCTTCTTTTTAGCTGGGGACTTGCCCTTTTTGGTCGTGGTCTTCTTCTTCGTTGCTTTCTTTGCTACGGTCTTCTTAGCAGCTTTCTTCTTCTTAGGAGTCCCAGCCTTTTTCTTGGGTTTTTTGGCTGCTGGTCTCTTCTTCGGCTTTTTTGGTGTAGCAGCGGCTTTGTTGACCTTGAAAGATCCCGAAGCACCAGTGCCTTTTGTGTGCAACAGCTTCCCCGACGCAACACCTCGCTTTAAAGCCATCTTTAGATGGGTCGAAGTATCACCGGTCACTTTGAAGTTGGCCTTGATATACTTCTCAATGGCTTGCCGTGATGAACCGCCTCGGTCTTTCAGGGCTGTAATAGCTGTAGAAATCATCGTAATGTACGGCGGATGAGCCGCGGGTGCGGCCTTTTTCGCTCTAGGCCTTCGAACTTTTGCGGTTCCCGTCTTCGCCATCTTTCGGGCACCGGGGCTCTTTGATCTGGACCTGGAGCGGGATCTTGATCTGGAACGAGATCGAGATCTAGCTTTTGGCTGTGAAGACATGGTTGACATGAGTATTAAAAGTTTGCCTTAAAACGCGTTACAAAACTCAGGTTTGCTTCGGAAAAAATTCTCGATGCAGGTGGCGTTGATTTTTTCCGCGCCACTATTATAACAATAGGACTGACGCCTGAGAAATCAGGTTTGAGACGCACGGATCAGTTCAAAAAAGAAGTGAACAGTGTGCGACATGTTTGAAATTTGTGTTTCTTCAATGAAATTTTGAAAGGTTTGCGCCTGAATTGGTCATCCCTCGGAAATGGTGAGTCACCGAATGCCTTACGAGAATGAGCTGCTTTCTAGCTGTGTTAGTCTGATAGAACATTTCGAACCCCAAAAAAGGGATTTCCCATGTTATTTTTCTCCTTTAAGTTTTAAAATATTGATACGAGTGACGTTAGTATCAATTAATTATTTATGAAGACTTTTATGGATATAAAAAGGTAAAAAAATTTAACATTAATGTTGGGTCAATTGTGTGAAAACACCAAAAGCAGAGAAAATTACATGTCATTATTTTAAAACGCGAATGAAAACTTCAAAGAAAGACAAGAAGTCGTTGTCGTCATATTTGTTTGACTGAGTTACTTCTCAAACAGCTTTCTTAGTTGTCCGTTTCTTCGGAAAATATATAATTATCTTATATAATTATCTTCTCGAAAGTTAATTGTATTTGACTATTCAGAACAATGTGATGGTAAAATATCCATTATTTTATCTCGAAGTAGTACAGAAAGGCATCAAGTTGACAGGAAAATGTGCTCTTTGGGGTATTGTACCGAGCCAATCTTGGCGACCTAGCTTTTAATAGGGCTGGCTAGCTACCTTGCGTTACGCTAAGCTTAAAGACGGTTAGATGCACCCCCAGTCAATTCCTTTCGATTAAAAAGCTATATGAAAGGTGTCTAAAAGATTCTTTAAGTTTCATCAAGGAGTCTTTTTCTGTAAGTGCATGGAAAAAGTTCTTTAAAGCCAGTCAAATTGCATTTTCTCCTTAATTTAAGCTTTACGCCTTACGAAATACGCCTTACGATCGCAGTGTGCGGTAGACGACATTTTTAAGTAGCGGTGTATGTACACCATTCAGCGATTGATAACCCCAAGTAGGAGAAAGGAAAAAACGAAACGACTGTTTTTCAAAATGCTTAAAACAGCCATTTAAACCAGAATGGTTTATTTAAACAACCTAAAGTATCGAACAGCTAGCAAGCCGGAGAAGAAACTTAAAGGCACTGCAACAAAGTTGCCTGGATCAAGGATCAAACATAATGTTCATTTGCCGTACTTCTATCAGTTTACAAAAGTTCGCAGTATAAAGAAAAAAAGAAAAAAGTTTATACAATAACTTATAGCGACGAAGGCGCGTGAGGAGCGTAAAAAGTAGCGAAAGGAACATCATTTCCCGCCAATAGAGGAGTTCACGCTCATAGTTGGATCATGGGTAATCAGAGCAAGATGGCGGAAAATTAGAAGATTTGTATTAGAATAAAAAAGGCCATTTGCACTAAGAGGTCACGTGACCAATGCTTCCTTTAAACATCGAGTTGGAATCTTGCTGATGCCAAAAATTGACAGAGCACATAAAAATTTAGCCTGAATTTCATCCGATTGCTTCGAGTCGTTTTCTCCTCTCACTGAGGGAGTAATAACGACTCGAGCTAATCGGATGAAATTCAGGCTAACAAAAATTATCTTAAACCGGAAATTTGAGAGGAAACACATTGAAGTGAGATATTTTATGATACTTTGATTTTTCAACAAAGTGGTATCATTTCGGCCGCCATGTTGGAGGGCATACTCTTGGCCTCCAACATGGCGGCCAAAACTACTTTTCTGCTTATATCTTCTTCAAGTTTTGATAGTTACGCTCAGATGTGCTGTAAACGTTGCCACATCATCTTTTTAACATTTTCCTTGAATGGTGTGGGTTTGAAGAACCAAATCAGACTATTATTTTTTTTAAGATATGACCCACCAATCGTTTTTCGAAGGCAAAGTCATATTACTTTCATTTTCATAAAAACGATGTCACATGACCTCTTAGTGCAAATGACCTATTTTTCCTGAATTCATATATTTGATGCTTTCTCTTTGAAAAGAGGAACTTGCGAGTTCAAAAAACAATACACTAATTCTGGAGTGCAAAGAAGTCCGTGATCAGTTTTTAGAAAACCTCAATTTTTCCATACATTTTCAGTAATTTTGATACTGTCGAATTACAGAAAATGTATGGGAAAACCAAGGTCTTGTAAAAACTGATCACAGACTTCTTTACGCTCCAGATTTAGTGTATTGTTTCTTTGAACTCATAAGTTACTCTTTTCAAAGAGAAAGGACAGGAGAAAGGATCAAATAGATGAATTCAGGAAGAAACAGCTGGCTTTGAATTCTAATACAAATCTTCTATTTTTCGCCATCTTGCCCTGATTCCCCAAGACGCAAATATGAACGTGAACTCCTCTATACTAAGCTTATATACTAGTATCTATTAGCACCGAAGGAGAACTTAAAGACTCTATCTAATAAGTTAAGAGATCCCATAACTTTAGGATTACCCTAATGATATCTTTCGACCGACTTTAATTCAGATGACATTTCTTCATATTTCTACCTATACTAGAATTTGGGGGTGGTATATATTTAATATCTATTGTTTAACGATATGTCATGACATCAGCGGCGTGGCTGCCTTTAAGCCATTAAGCCCTGGGCCGGGTTGTTCAAAGCATGGTTAAGATAACCCAGAGTTAGTGCGAAATTCGAATTCAAGTATGAAAGCTTAAAAAGCAAATTCAGTTTTATTCTTTTTGCCTACAATTTGATGATTGGATGCTCTAAAAAGAATAGAGAAAATTATCCGGGAACATGCTTTTGAACAAAAGAAAAAGAAACCTGGGTTAAAATTTAACCCTTTTAGCGCTAATCGGCCTTCAAACAACTGGGCCCTGGCTTATTAAAACAGGAATCTGAGCAAAAATAAGTGCAGGTTATCACGTGTTCTTAAAAAAGGTTTTCTCGATCGAACTAAAAATTGGCAATTCTAGAACCAAGAGTCTGCTGTCGGCAACATCTTTTGCTGTTCGCAGAGAGCAGTTTACTTTTTCCAAACTTAGATTTGGAAGCAAGCTAAGTACCACTACCTAAATTGCTTGCACTAAAGTTGTTCCGTTGTATCGCTGTTTTGCTGCCTATAAACAGTTTCAAGGCCCCCCTATCCCAGGCACTCTGCATTTTTTCCGCGGGTACCAATGACGATCGGTTCAAGCACGACTTCTTTACAGTTCCACGGACGCTTCACCTCTTTTTACAGCGTTTGTATTTTTAATTCTATTTCAAAAACTTTTTCAGTTGCACTGTTAAAGAGTTTATTTTTTATTTTGGTTTTTTGGTTTGCTTTTTTTTCAAGTGCATTTACCTTTATTCAGGAGCCTTTCCCCGTTTGTTTTTTGTTTTTTGTTTTTGTTTTTTCTTGTAAAAATATTTTTTATAGTGTTATTAATAACTTCACGGGAGTTCAGGCCTCAGGAGTAACACCGATCGTTTATATGTATTGTTAATTTTTTTTCACATTTTTTAAGAACGAAAATCATTTTATCTGTTCCTTTTTTACGGTCGCCGCACAAATCTGGCCATATCCAGAGCCATATTGTTGGTAAGAATGCAACCACCCTACCACCCCACCTCTTTGCACCGCAAACCTCATCGCGGGCTCCACGAGTAGCTCGAAAAATATTATAGTCTGTTTCGCGACTCACCGTCGCCCAGGCCGCCCAGAGCTAGGATAATTTGCTTTTGCTCCTGGGTTCAAGACACTGATTCGATGCAGAAAACTTGATACATGGTGTGCAAAACACGCTTCACCTGTGCAATGTGGAATGTTTCTGTGATCAAGAGGAAATAGACTGTTAAAAACGGTACCGGACTGTAAGCATCGGATCATTCGCTACAGCCGCAGCGATGTCGAAAGCTAAGAACAAACTGAACTTGACGATAGCCCCGACTGCTTCTCCGGATCCAGTAACTCCGTGAGTAAATGGATGTTTTCGGTGATTTCTTTCTAATTCCGAGCTCAAACGCACCTTGAATTGTGTAATTTCGCATAGGCGCATTGCTTGTTACTCACTACTACTTTCGTATTTTATTTCTTGTGCTCCAACAGAGATGATGCGGCAGGGATCGGCTTGCAAAAGGTGGAAGAAATACGAAAGAAAATGGACGAGCTTGAACTGGACACCTTGCAACGTGAAAGGCTTGAGGCGTTTCTGGCCGAGAAGAGGAAAATTGGAGAGCTGAACGCAGAGGATTTCGATAAATTGGCTGAATTGGGTGCTGGGAATGGCGGCGTTGTGACCAAGGTCTTGCACAAGCCAAGTGGGCTTATAATGGCTCGAAAGGTGAGCTCGCAGACGAGAATATCTAGAACCCAATTAATCCCAGCCGAATAAATTTTCAGTATCATAATAACACGATCGTGTTTGCATGTAATTCTCCTGATTTCATTTCCCAGGGATCGCTCATATCCTCTCTTAAAAGCGGTTCAAGGCATTATGTCGCTACTGTTCAGAGTTTAATACGTGCGTACAACCTCCTGGAATTTATGTCTATTTTTGTACATTTTTTCAAAGAACGCATGTTTCCTTTCATCCATAGCTCATTCACCTGGAAATCAAGCCGTCCATACGCAACCAAATCATTAGAGAACTAAAGGTTTTACACGACTGCAACTCTCCGTACATCGTGGGCTTTTACGGAGCGTTTTACAGCGATGGAGAGATCTCCATTTGTATGGAACACATGGTAAGATATGGGGAATGTTTCAAGTACTCTAGCAAATGGAATTTGCTTTTTGTTGCGTTCTACGCAGCAAAGCACTGAGCAGCTATGCACGTTCTAGCATTTATTCATCTGCTAAGAAACAAAACGCAAATCGCAGAATGGCAATTGATATATTAATTATTTACTGGTTTTGTAGCCCACGTCGCCAGTCCAAACGCCATGCACACAACTTTGCAGGTTTTTAGCTCTGTTTTGCTACGATCGCTTTTTTGTTAATCTTATTTAGCGATGATTTTTGATTCGTGCAAGATGAAAGTACGTCCACCCTGGAGAGCGTTTAGGGGAAGGGATTTCGTGCTGTAGCGTTTACTTTCTCCTTGAGATTGTGTTTGAATTACTAACATCAATTTATTGTCAGAGGTCGATGGTTTGTACTGTGAGTTTCTTTGTGCATAACTTTTCATTTCCTGCATAAATGTAAATTTTACGCGTTCAATTCTTGCCCGGGACTCTTTCTGACTGCAGCAAATCGTTTTGTATTTAATGTATTTGATCTTGGTAAAATATTCCAAGTTCGATGGCATTTTTTTTAATGCAATGTACTCCCTTCACAAAAGTAGCCAAATTTATTCCCCAGAGTATTAATATATGTTCGTTCTGACCATTAATATTACCTCTGCAAACACAGTTTAATATTTTTCTGTTGTGTTAATTATTAGGTGGCCTTGGCTTACTCAGCCTCAAATTCATTTGTTGAATTTAACCTTTTTTACATAAAACATAGGTTAAATTATGTTTAGCATGTGCATGATGACTTAGCCATTGATTTTGATCTTGAGTTCAAAGAGGGATTTTTCATCTCTGTACAAAGCTGCATTTGAAAATACTTTACAAGCTCCACACCTGCAAAGTGTATAATTTGCATACCCAAGATAATGCTTTGTGTTTTTCACATAACAAACCCATATTTTGGACACTTGAGAAGTTCTGATTCGGCACATTTTGCAATGTAAATTTACCTAGATGCCTTGCAGAACAACATGTATATTACCCACATTGTTTTGTACTGCCTTGTATACATGTAAGTCATATCTTTCCAACCTTAAAAACTTAAAGTAAAATTTTCTCTTTGAAACATGCTCAATAGATCCAGCCATAATATCTCATGAATTAATTTTGTTATGTTCATCATGCATTTGTTTAGAGTTTTTGCTGTCATTTTTTGCCTTAAATTATTTGGTAGACAGTTGGAACCAATCAGTAAATGTTTTGTTTTTTTCAGTGTTTACTTTGTATCCTTGCCTCATACAACCCAGTTAACATTTTGGTTGCCAAAATATTTTTACTGAATAGCCTTCTAACAGAAGTGACATGCTGATGTTTGTTAACTTAAGATTAATCTGCTTGAAATTGTCAAAACAACTGACTGATAACAATGTTGATTGTTAACCTTGAACACTGATCAAACTATCTTCTGACTCTGTGCCCTCCACTTTTGTCTGAGACCCTTTTCACACCAACAATCAAATTAGAGTTCGTCTGAAAAGAAAGCAAAGTTGGCAGTTTTTATCTAAAAGGCTATACCTGCTTAGGAAGTTTCTAACAGCAACAATCTGTCATAACAGTATTTATTTTATACATTTTCATTTTTTGTGGCCTGCTGTCAATTCAACAATGCTGGTGCAATTATTTTTAGGGCCAGCTGTAGTCTGTCTTTATGGAGCTTTTGCTTTTTCTTTTTAACTAACTATTTCCTCTCGGGGGTGGGAGCGGGGGGATTTGTTTCTTCATTTACAGGGAAATCATTCTTCTTAATGTTACAATTAACTTAAAAGTTAAGTAAATGTAATCGTCTCTGTTCTCTAAAAATACTGAACAAATCTTTGTACAGATGGCAAAATACTGCATTTTTGAGAGTCTTTTGAAAGAGCACTAAGGTTTAATGAAGAGAGAAAACTTGATATAACATTGAGAAGGCTTATTCAGTGCTGGGTGCAATTGATGTCAAATTTCAAAGTAAGAGTTTCTCCATCCTTTTGAGTTGTTAGTTTTATCACGCATTTGAGCTGCTTAAAACTTACCATTTTTACAAGTTGTTGAGTTGAAGTGGTTTTTTTGTTTTGTAATAAAGGGTGTTGGAATTTGAGAGCTGTTGTGCCATGCAACATCAAAAAATGACCACTGAAAATGCTCTCATACAGTTACAACAAAAAGTTATCTTTTGAGTCGTTGAAACCTTTTTGAGCTATTTTGAAAAAATAGCTCATATGTCAGTGGTGTGAGCGTATGTATCTTTGTGGCTTTGTATCTTTGTGGCTTTGTATGTTGGGATGTTTGTTGCAAGAGCCAATAAGGTTGAAGGTACTATGAGTTGATGCTTAGGAACCAATGAGATCTTGGCATCTATTTAAACATGGCATTGGTAAAGGTCGAACAAGGGCACTTTGAGACCGCCATCTTGATCCTTCACAATTTTTTTGTCTTTTATTACGGGTACAGGTGTTTGGAAGCATTATACAAAATATCTTCATGATTCAAACGCTGTGAACAGTGATACAGCTGTTTAAGGGTTCATATTTAAGTGTGGATGCTGCTTCGAGACATTTCTGACCTAATTTGGCTATCGGTACAACGCACGTCAGTATGAGTTCTGTTTCACCTGCTACAACGGGGTAGAGTATAAAAGATTATATATTTTCAAATCTCTTCCAATGAAGCAATAATTGATATTTAGATATAGACTTTAATTCGAAAGTATGCGCCCTATAAAATGTGGTTTTAGAAGTTTAAAAGGCAGCTTATTTTTTTGAAAGCTGTATCGAGTATTGTTAATCCTGTAAACAAGCTTTAAAAATGTTATTCTCTCACTTACAAAGTTCAACCGACCTTTTTCGTTCTATTTAGTAAAGATGCATAACTTAAGTAGAAACAGTAGCGTTAGGGAATAAAATTGGAAGAAGCTAGTTGACACAATAATTAGATACTGTTATATTGAGTGGAGTAACATGATATAAGTAGAAATATATTTCGGCAGTTTGATAATTTTCTTGGAAGCTAATAAATGTTAGGCTATCAACCTTGACGTTGCATGAAACATAATTTAATTGCAGATGTTGTAATAAAGCCGAGGTGATTTCTTAAAATCGTTGGAGAAAATTTTGTAGTAAAACAATTTGCCTCTTTTATACGTACGAATTGTGAAAGGGCCAAAGACCAACATCTTCACATGCAAATTGTGTGCATGAGTTATTTTTTGATTACTGTGTGATAACTCGAATTCCCTCACGTACGAACCACGAAATGGGGGAAAGTCCAACACTTTCACGTGTCAGCTGCGTGACTGTACATCTCATGCAGATTGGCTTTTCATAATAATAATAGTAACTTGGACGTATGAAGACCTGTTTCGTTTTGTAACCAATGCCTTAAAAAAGGCTCTTGTCTTTTAAGAAGCAATGGCTTTTAAAACATGACGAAATAAGTTGTCGGAGTTAAAGACTGTTTCGCAAATGTTAATAAATGTTAGGTTATCAACTTTGACGTTGCATGAAACATAATTTAATTGCAGATGTTATAATGAAGCCGAGGTGATTTCTTAAAATCGTTTGAGAAAATCTTGTAGTAAACAATCTGCCTTTTTTTCCGTACGAATTGTAAAAGGGCGAAAGACCAACATCTTCACGTGCAAATTGTGTGCGTGAGTAATTTTTATAATTCTGTTTACTAGTTTACTGTGTGATAACTCGAATTCCCTCACGTACGAACGACGAAAGGGGGCAAAGTCCAACACTTTCACGTGCCAGCTGTGTGACTGTACATCTCATGCAGATTGGCTTTTTACAATGATAAATAGTAACTTGGACGTATGAAGACCTGTTTCGTTTTGTAACCAATGCCTTAAAAAGGCTCTTGTCTTTTGAGAAGCAATAGCTTTTAAAACATGAAGAAATAAGTTGTCGAAGTTAAAGACTGTTTCACTGAGTAGAATCACACCTGAAAACCTCGTGAATTATGATGATGCAACCATCTACCACAATGATAAAAATCCTGGCATTTCGTAACTATTCAGTATTCGATGAGTCACATTTTGGCTTAAGAAACTCTGAGGAAACCTTAGAGTTTTCCTGCTGATCAACGTTTGGTGAGTAGAAATTTGTTTCACTTTAACGATTTGTTTAACTTGCACCAGATGTAACAGGGAAAGACAGAGGAAAGTGAATATATAGCTTGAGGATTGACTCAGCTGAGCGTTTCGCGTTTTCATTTATGTACCGCAATACGCAATTTCGCACAAAAACCCAATCTACATTTAGGATGAAAGAGGTAGATTCATCACTCTTGGTAAGGTTACACCGAAGCATTAAAGTTACACTGAAGCATTCAAAATAGCTCATGCACGTTTAACGTGCCTATGTTTCAATGGTCCCTGTGCTAGCATAAGTATTAATTGCAGTGTTAATGAACTCTCAGGTTCTGAGTAATTGCTCTTTTAGCAAGATTGGATCACATGTTTCTTGTTGCCATTTTGGTACTGTCCCTCTGAGGAAAACCAAAATGGCATCTCCATGCCTACTGTAAAAACTCGTGTATAAGCCGCACCTTTTTGCCGAAATTTTGAGTCAAAAATCACGGGTGCGGCTTATACACGAGACCATTGCTCTCAAAGGGAGTAAACTGGCTTGTAGGGGTCACAAATTGAACTGAAAACCTTCAGTAAATAAAGATTAAACATATTGAAACCTGTCGTTGATCATTGCTTTCAGTAGAAGTGGTGGCTCCTAAAGGAGCCGTTTGTTTGCATCTTCAGGTTCTATACCTGAATCTTGCTCGCCAGTAGTTCTTTTAAGCGTTTCATCTGCGCTTTGTTTGAGCAGTTAAACTCTAACTGGCATGGAATCTCCATTCCTCCGCACAGCTGCTTACAGTGTCGTCTGCGACCGATCACTTCAACGCTGATTTCCCCACTACGTGCAAGAAAATACCACGTTATTCGAGAGAATTCGCGAGGCAAATGGCCGACCGTTTCGTCGTCCTTCACTACTTTCACGGCGTGTTTGTCCATTGGGTTGTTAAACTCTCGTTTAGCAACAAGCTTTTCCCCGATCGATGGTTTCCATAGGTCAAATAAACGCGTGGTTACTAAGCAATCGTTTTGTAGCATTCTCCAGCGCTTTATTTTCGTTCCATCGTTCCATTTTCATTTCAACTGTGGGCTTTAGCAATGAAGAGAACTGTTGTCTTTCGCAGGAAATGGGGAAATTGATTAAAGAGAACCTTTTAAAAGGTATTTTCAGAGTTGATTAACTTATTTAAAATGTCACTGCAAATACACAACATTAAATTTCCTCAAGTTTATTTGTGAACATTTTGATGCACAAACAAACGATCACCTTTTTTACAAAAGCGCATTTTTGGTTTGTTTGTTTTTTTCAAAATCATGCTTGAAAGTTGGGGGTGCGGCTTATACACGAGTGCGGCTTATACACGAGTTTTTATGGTAGTTGCTATTTTTCAGCAAAATTTTTCTTCAAAATACCCTTTGTATGACTGGTTGTGTGTAAGTCTTGTATTATCTCTGGTTCTCAACTTGATTTATATGAAGATTTCAATTTTTATTTTAGAGGGCATGAAATAAAATACCAGCTATAAGATCTATTTTGCGCTTAGCTGTCTCTTCTAAACATCAATCAGAAATGTATTACAATAATATTACAAAAACCTGGGAGCTCCAGCTGGATGCTAAGTTCTTTCAGATGACAAAGGGCTTATGGTCAAAAATAATGGAAGACAATAATTTATTCAAAAACATTGTTCAAAGAAATTATGTTCATTTGTCATATTTTTCAGTAATTTATAGCCACTCATAAGAAAAAAAAGGCATATTTCACATGGTAAATGTAATACCCTATCCAACTCGCTGTCTTTTATAAGAGGGCAGAGTTCTCCTTAGGTACTTAAGGCTAGGCGGACCACCTGGCTTAATTCACTGGAAAACTGTTGCTGCCTGAAAACCAAAGATTTAACCAAACGGAAGCTTATGTAGACATTCAGAGCTAGGTATTTTAAAGACGAAATCACGCAGTGGAGGAAATGAACCATTGTCTGGTGTATTTATTTGTTTTTTGTTGTTGTTGTTGTAATTGTTGTTGTTGTTGTTGTTATCACAAGGTATTGATCATAGAAGTGGTTTACCGTTGGATGAATATGTTTAAACCTGTGATGCATTCACTTTGTTTAACAGCCGCCATCTTGAATTATATTTCCAAAAACACAATGGCCCTTCAAGGAGCTTTAAACATACTAGACTACTAGAGGAAATTCCTTCGCTTGCAGTCAACCCAAGATGTGTGGAACAAAAATGAAAAGCTTGTCAAAGCAAATTGAGTTCTTTTTTTACAGCTTAAACTAAGTTCCTAAGTCAGAAAATTTTTATTCAGGCTACAGCAGGCGTCGTCCAAACACCGTTGAAATTCACAGTCAAAATACCCCTTAGCCTTCCCAGAATCCTAGAGAGAACACTGAAGGATTAAACTTAGCATTGATAATAGAAGTAGTATGTCTTTGATTTTATCTAGACTACAAGTAGTCCCCATTTTTCCTCAGGGATCTCATGTCGCCTTTTCTTGCATGGGTTGATTTTCATGCACGCTCACGTTTTGCTCACTGTACCATCCCTGAGGAAAAATGGGGACTACTCGTAATCTAGATATTATCTGTCTCTTTCTTTGAGTACTTCTCATCATTATACCACCTCTTATCTTGTACAGTGCAGTGAAACCCTATCCTGAATATCCATTGCTGCTTTCTAGAGGGCAGTAGTAAAACATGTGACAATTGTATAAGAAATATACAGAGGAAAATAATTGTTTTTGCTTGTCAAAGCTTTTCGCCTTGTGGCATTCTTCCTCCAGGACATGCTCTGAGTGGAAAAGATTGAACAGGCCAAGCCCCCTGAGGCCCAGTTGAAACGTCGATCTTTCCGTGTACCGAACCTATTCCCTTCAATTAATAATACATGAAAAGGTTGAGGTTTGAACCAAACCTAATTCATGAATTACTGTAATTTCTTTTAACTGGAAAGCATTGTAGATCGATCATTGCCCATTGTGAAAATAAATAGGCCACTTCAGAGTTCTAAAAGCCCTCACTTTCAAAATGAGGCCAAGTGCACAACCTTTCTTGTGAAAATGAGTTTTATTTATTTTAGAATGAAAAATCATTTCCATATGAAAGGCTGAGCACTTAACCTTGTTTTGATACAGAGGCCCGGGGACACATTTGAAACAACTGTCGAGCTTACATCATTTGGGTCTACCCTAATAGACATGAAGTTCGCTACATCAAAAGTTCAACATTTGAACTGGACCTGAGTGCTCTGAACCTGCGAAATCTGGCTAGGGTGTCCACTATACAAGTGTTAGGTGCCAGAGTTCATCGGCACTGCTAGAGAACAATCCTGTTTCTTCTCTTGCAAGGTCACTTAAGCTGCCTTAAGTTAATATTCTGCAGAACATTGCTCATTGAAGGGTTTGTAGTAAAATATTATTCATTTTTAAATGTTTAGGATGGTGGCTCCCTGGATCAGATTCTTAAGAAGGCTGATCAACTACCTGAGGACATTTTGGGAAAAATAACAGTTGCTGTAAGTGCTAATTTTCAACAGATTGAGCAAGCATTATCTGAATGTGATGAGTAATTTTCTGTTTGCATGATGGGCATTCTTGATTGTTATGCTTTCCTCTCTGTGATACCTTTCCCAAGGACTCTTCGAGTAGTACATGCTGGCTTACAGCTTGCCTGAATGGGAATCTGTAAAACTAACTTTCTTTTCACCCTGGGCTAGGCAGATGGGCTACAACCATCAAGTTACCATTTTGATTGGTGCTGAGCTCAAATGGTCATCTCTTTTTAGTTTTCTCTGTCAAGATATATAATTTCGAGATTGGCAATTCCTTGTGGAACAGCTATTCAGGAAGAATGAAGTGGCTCGAAAGTCTTAAGATAAGAGTTTGTGGGGTTGATTATTTCAAATCATAATATATTTAATATATTTTTTTTTATTGTTGATATACTTTTGATTAAATTTTATTTTCATTTAATAGGTTCTGAAAGGCTTGAGTTATCTCAGAGATAACCACAAAATAATTCATAGAGGTATAGATACATTCTTAAGGTTGATTAACATATAAACATAAACATTTACATTATATCTTGTAATTTTATTATTAATTAATCCAGTCTCTTCAGTGGCATCTAATTCACTGGTTTAGATTGTCTTGGGTAAGATGTGTATTGCATGCTTTTCTATTATTTTGAATTGTTCTGCTTTATTTACATTAAGGGCCAGATGCCGGTTATTTTCCCAAGCTATTATGAACATGACGCCGCCTACTTTTGTAGGAAAATTGAAGAAAAATAGAGCCAAACATATTCCCTTCTAGCTGTTTGATTCCCCACCTATTTGTATCATATACCCAGCAACTGAATTTAGCTGACATAACTTTTAAGTGAAATAATTTGCAAAGCTGAAAAATGAAGTATGGTGCTTTATAAGCTTAATACTCGATGCGTGCTGTGCTAGTAGTCAGGTCCCATTTTCAGAATATTTAGAGCTGTGTGGTGTTTTTGGAATTACAATAATTATTTCACATCTGATTATGAAGTAAGCAAAACCTGTGTAGGTTGGCAGTGAAAGCATAAATGTCAAAATACAAGCAAAATGGACAACTCTACTTGTGTCTACCTTGATAAAACTCCCTCACTACATAGCCACTCACAAGGATCACTGAATTCCAACAGAACGGGCTGGCTCTAGTTATGAACACTTTTTCCTGCTCCTCAAGGTCCTCTTCTTGACCATTTGACACCTGAATTTTGAGAGTCTAACAATCCATTGTCATCTTACTCATAATTTTATGGAATCTGATAGTTCATGATGTATTATGCTTGATTTATTATATGTTTTGGCCTCAACTGCACCATAAATTCATTTCCACCAACAGAGTTTTGTATTTCCTTTTTTGTACAGTGCATGAAAGGGATTTTTACAATGTTTGTTTGTTGTGTTTGGCAAAAGCTTCTATAAATTAAATTTTATTATATGCGAATTGTGGCATCTTGATTTTTTTAACAGATGTAAAGCCATCAAACATTCTAGTAAACTCCCGTGGAGAGATCAAGCTGTGTGACTTTGGAGTCAGTGGACAGCTAATTGATTCCATGGCAAACTCTTTTGTTGGTACAAGATCGTACATGTCGGTAAGATTACTCGTTACTGGTAACTTATAAGTAGCAGTTCTGAAACCAAGATGTAAGGGAATAATTTTATTATTTATTCTGAAAAACAGGTCATGCCTTGATTCCTTCCTCTCTGAAACCTTGTTCAATGCTTATTTAAGGGGAGTGCTAATCCAGGCCAGAGGCAGCATGGCCGAACAGTTAAAGCACCACACTTGTAATTCGGTGGCCCCCAGTTCAAGTTCTGCCCTGACCTTCTAGCTCGATTTGTACTCGGTAATCCAGAGTTCAAATCCTTGGCCACGCTTGTATAATAGCCAGCTGGTTTGCCCCCAGCCAGTTGGGATTTTTAACCATGTCAATGTATGTTCCACTTAAATGTAAATTAACTGTTTCATCATCCCTAAAGAGCCACATAAGGGGAGAGGATAATTAAAGTATTCAAGGTTTTTAAGGTGAAATGTTAAAGGAGAATATTTTGAAAAAGGCTCCACGTCTGAATAAAAACCAGTCACATGTTACTGAGTATTATTATTATTACAGTTGAAGCTCTCGTGAACGGCCACCTCAGAAATTCAAAGAATTGGTCGTAACTCAAGCTGGTCGCTCACAAGATTGAGCACTCGTAAAGTGACCACACAGTAAAACAATAGAGGGTGGTCGCTTATGAAAGCTTCAGAAGCTCATTAATAATTTATAAAGAAAAAACAAGGCGTGCTAAGTGGTTGCTATGGAAATGACCTGGAACTTTTACAAATACAATACTGCACTGTATAAGATCTTTATCAACTAACCATTAGTCCAGTGTGCAGTTTCATTAAAGTGTTTATTTATATGAACTAGACTCTGAGTGGTTGCTTATGAGAGCTTAAAAACAAAGGAAAAAGCCAGTTGGGAAATCCCAATAGTTGTTATGGTCGCTTTCAGGAGCAATTGCTTACAACAGTTTTTCATCACAAAGTTTTGATGGGGTTTCACAAAGGTGGTCGTAACTAGAGCTGGTCACTTACGAGAGTGCTTGCAAGGAGCGCTTCTACTATATTATTATTATTATTATTATTATTATTATTATTATTATTATTATTATTACTATTATTATTATTAGATAAAATTATTCTTTCCTGGGTAAGAGCTTAAGTGTCTTTTGCCATCATATGCACTGAGATACTGTGCTTGAGAGGCTCAAGATACAGAAGACGACAGCCAGACTTTGTTAACTCAGATTTACAGATGGAAAACATTAGAGCCTGCCCAAATTAATATTTTTTTAGAAACATTTAAAGATTGTTTTTAATTTTAGAGGCTAATAAGCATAATGGATGGTTTTGTCATGTGCATGTTTTACAATGAATTTATATACATATATTTTTCAACTGTCTCCTATGCTTTTAGTTTGAGAATTTCATGTATGTATATGACGAGGAACTATAATTACCCTACTGCAGTTTTTTTTCTTTTGTGTATAGGTTTTTACAAGATTTGATATTTAAGATGTTGATTGCGATTAGATACTCCTCAAAGTAAATGCAGTTAACTCAGTTGAGATGCATAATCATGTTAACAGCATAATTTTCCCTATTTTTCAGCCTGAAAGACTTCAGGGGGCAAATTACTCAGTTTTGTCAGACATCTGGAGCTTTGGGTTATCATTAGTTGAAATGGCAATTGGGAGATATCCAATTCCACCACCAGAAGAAAATGAAATTGAAAAAAATTCAAATTATCAATCACACATCCTCAGACTTGCCCCTGGAGCAAGACCACCGGGTGGAGTTAATAATGATACCACAAAACCAATGGCAATATTTGAGCTCCTGGACTACATTGTGAATGAGGTAAATACATTTATCTATGTTGTTGAGCGACTGTCTTGTCATGTTTCATACAGATTTTTGAATTCTTGAAAAAGTCTTGAAATTTGCAACACAGTTTTCCAGACCTGGAAAAGTAGAGGTTAATTCTGGAAAAATGGTAAAAAGTCTAGAGTTTTTTCTTTTCAAAGCTACAACAAGTACTTAATAAGTGAATTTTTTTCCGTGGTCAAATCCCTTTCAATCTTGCCTGTAGCCAAGACATTTAATCACAGATGGGAAGTTTCTTTAACTCTTATATGTCCGCTTGTACCGTAATAACTGACGTTTGAAGTGCATCTTGAAAAAAGGTCGATCCCTGCGTTTTTCAAGGTCTTTAGTGACCACGTATTTGGTAACCTTGAGTCTGGAAAATAAACTATTGTTTTGGAAAAAGTCTGGAAAAAGTCTTGAATTCTGTACAAGCCTTAGTTGTGTACCAGGCAACTGATAGCCAACTACTACATTATTTATTTCATTAGCTTGTAGGCAGTAATTATTTTTATATGAGTGAGCTGCAGATGACATGTAACATACCAGGACTAAGGAGGGGAGGCAGTGTTTCAAGTGGTAGGGATGATCAATAAATTGGGGGCAGAAATCAAAATCCCCCACAATTAATCAATTTCCAAATTTCCGAGCCATAAGAGTTCACTCACTTCTAGTAAAACAGCTAATGGGAATTCCTGTGATGATAAAGCTGAGCAACTATGTTGGATTAAAAAAAGAGTATTTAAAGCTTTTTCCTATAAACCTTGGGTCACTTCACAGAGTATTGCTTAACCATTTTTATGGAACACGTGCAATGTAAAATGTCGTAATAATTAGAGCAATTTTTGTTTGACCTCAAAATAAAAATGCGCAAACAAAACAGAGACGACAATCAAATGGAAATAGAGTGATTGGTTTATCGAACGGATACAAACGCGCATGGCTTTTGGTTGGTATAAAGCGAATGCTTGGGTGAAAAAACTTCATGCCTGAGAACTTTCTAGATATCAATCGATACTTCACCTTGATATCATACTGCAACACGATTGGCCAATCAAACAGTGTCCTCTCCATATTAGGGTTTTCTTTGGCAGGAAAACAAAGAGTCCATGTTTTGGTCTTTTCATCCATTGGCTGATGAAACAAATAACGAACACTTACTGGAACCATTTTTCAAGGTCATACCAAAAGCGCTTTAATTATTAGAACAACCACTAAACAAGTTTGGTTGGACCTTACTGGCAGAGCTACACAGCCAGCATATGTGGGTACCACCACAAATCATCCGATTGCTTTGAATGCCCCCAGAAATCCTTTCTTCACTCACAAATAAGGACTTACCAAATTCTTTTACCCCCCAAGAATCTTTCAATCACCCTTGTCACTTGAAATCTGGAGTACTTTCCAGTTCCTGGGTTGTCTTCCGGCAGTTGAATCACTTCTTAACAGTTTCTGTCTTCTCTTTTGTAGCCTCCTCCCAAGCTGCCAACTGGTCTTTTTACAGATGAATTTTGTGAGTTTGTGAACAAATGGTAGGTGTCCTTTCAAATCCAGTATTTTGATCATTGTGGCATTTAACCCTTTAAGCCCTAAGAGTGATGAGCGTCAAATTTTTCTGAGTAATATCACAGCTTAACAAAACAGAGTGGTTATGAGAATTAAGGACATGATCACACAAGATGAATCTAATTGATACTTCAACAAATTCTCCCCACTTCTTATATTGAAAACATGTAGGGATAACAAATGAGAATTTGAATTTTGATGTTAGGGTTTAAGGGTTAAGGTCAGGAGCTCAAGATATTACTAAAGATGTAAATTTTTATTGCTTAAAATGTTATGCACCAAAAATAAAAACATTTTTTATTGTTCAAAAGATAGACGTAATACAAAAATATTCAGCCAGTTTCCCAAAATTCAAAATGAAAAACTTTTTGTTTGTCCTTTTTTATCACCTAAAAGGTTTAACTTAACTTTGCTTAAATTGTTCATGTCATAAGCTCTGTCAGTCGGTACAAACTGTATGTGTGAATGGTTAAGTTATTTTTCTCGAAATTCTTTCGAGTGATGAATATTAAAAAATGCTTGTTTCTCAAAACTCCGGACTTAAAAGTTGATCATGCATCTTGAAACTTAATTTTTTCGCATCATGAATCAAGTTTTGAGGATCTGCTTCTTGCTGTATACTTGCAACAAAGGAGATATACTATTGATAAGGTCATCCCGGTAAACTATTTAAAACTACAGGTTGAGGTAAAAACAAAAACCCTCACAGTGATTTTGTTACCTCTGCATGTTGCATCCCTGACGTATCAAAATCCCCAAAGACGCAAAATAATTCATGGCATGCGTCCCATAGGATGTAAAGAATTTGGTAGAATATCCTGCTCATTTGAATTCTGTAGCTGTTGTTTAAAGATGCATATTTATTTTAGTCTTTTTCGTGCTTTAAATAAATAGAAGGACTATATTTTAATTTCAGTAAACCATAATAAAGAGTTTTGGTCTCTGTCTCCAGATTAACTGTCTATAAGTTACATAAAGACCCGAGCATTTTCAATTTAAGACTCCTTGTTTTCTTTGAACTAGGAGTCACTGGATTTGGACAGGGACTCATGATTTTTCACAAGAAAAATTTTTTCACCATAACTGTTTGTAAGAACATCACTGCCCTTGCACCCTGCTAGTATTTATGTCCTAATAAATTTAAAGTTTACTGATCAATGGGCTCCTAGAAATGTGGTGCGGGCTCCTAACTTTTTATTTTAGGAACGTAGAGGGCTCCTAAAAAATTTCTTAGGCAGCAGCCTTGCTTCTGACTGTTTACTTTCATGAGGCATCACAACAGCTTAACAACTTTATTACACCAATTTTTGGTTCGAAAGGTTCTTCATTTTGCAATAGAGGACACTTAAACAAAGCTGTGCTCTAAGGAAAATTGAATGGAGCCTGGTGCTCTGAAACTGTAAAATCCAGGGTGCCCAGCACATGATTTGTATGAAACAATGAAGATTTTCTAGTCGTCTGAGAGCAAAAGTTAGGCGTCACAGGTCACCAGGCGCTGCTAGAGCACAGCCCTGCTTGAATTTACAATCTTTTGCTTGATGCAGCATTTAGGTGGCAGCAGTGAAGGCCCTCATGTAGGTTAAAAATGTTACCGATTTTTTAAGATTTTGCTTTCCTTGTCTCAGAATAAATAAAATTATTACTTTCATCCTTATAAGTTCCCTAATGAGGGGGCAAGTGCTCTCACCACTGCGGCACTCTTCCTCCCAAAAAATAAACTTATTTTTCTCTTTCAGTCTTGTAAAGAATCCGTCAGAGAGAGCAGACCTAAAGTCTCTAATGGTAGGTTTTGTTTGCTTCACTGCTTAAATTCTCAGTGTTCAGCATTGTCTTGCTAAATAAATTTTTTTTACGTGCGGTGGATCTGTCCATTTTAGCCGACAAATATTCGGCAGATTCCTCAGTGTGAAAATAACATTAACATTAACCCATTTGCCCTTGAAAATTTTGTTGAAGTTAGTCGAGCGGTTTTCTAGTCACTGTCTTGCTACAAAGAGCTAAACCTTTCACAAAGCCGTTTACAGGTGGTACACTTCGCGGCCTTCTGATCCAGATGCAGAATTATTATTGGCTTGCAAAGTTTGGACATGCACGGAATTAAGCAAACTTTCGTCTTTTTCTTTTCCCTTTCTCTCCTTCCCTGTTCTTTCCCTTTTGTTGCCTTGTTTGTTTTTTTCTTTTGCTGAACATTTAGTAGGTTTCACTGAATCGTGTTTATTCTGGTATGGTTTGAAAGATCTCCACACGATTTAGCAGATAAAGTTGTCCTTGACCGTTAAAACTAATGATGTCACAAATGATAGAAAGGATATGGATCTGCACAGGCGGTTATGGGCGGTTCAGGGGCGAATGGGTTAATAGTAATTTTTAAGTTTATATAGTCTCCATCCATATCAAAGTCCATTATCAGTCATCAAAATGAGGTATCCCTTTGTTTCCGCAGAATCATCCATTTGTGAGAAAAGCAGAGGCGACACAAGTAGACTTTGCAGGCTGGGTGTGTAATGTGGCTGGTCTATAGCAAGCCTCAAGAATTGGGTGAAAAGGAACAATACTGTTAGAGAACAGGTTACCCTTACCCTTATTTAACTTGTGTCACAGGAATGAGAAAAGTTACAAGAAGAGAGGAGAGCATAAGCTATGGAATTTATCTAAATATGGTGTGTTTTGGATTGCAGTATAAAGAGAGTTCAGTGCATAGATTGGAAGCATTTTATTCTTCACATGGTGTATGTCGCAATGTTTAGAGGATGCGCATTGACATATTTAACAGGTCATTCGAGGCCCTTCTGGCCTGCAGCATGTTTATGGCTGGTTTCCAATGTAACTTAACTGTTTACAGGCAGTTTCTCTGGAATGGTTGAGAGCAGGCATCAGTGAGAAACAAAACCACATCAGGTGGTGCCAGGTGCTTAATCACACTTCTGTCAGTTTGTTGCATGCTGATGCCAGTCAAACTTAAGTTGTGAGCAATATGATTGAATCACTTTGCAATACTATGCGTATGTTTTGTGTCAGTGATTCCACCAACGTCCTGTTTAAATTCCTCAACCCCTTGAGCCTTAATGGGAACAAACATCTAATTTCTCCTTACAGTCTCACTGCTTCATTCAGTGTAAAGCTCATGGGAATGAAGAAAATAATTGCCAAAGTTATTTCCTATCTTTAATAATTGAAACAAATTTCTTTGATAAGAATTTAACCCTTTAAGCCCCAATATCTACATACAAATTCTCCAGACTGATCTCCATACATTTCCTTAAGAAATTAGTTGAGAGAATTTGATAAAAGATCAAAGATTTTTCTCTTTGTGATCATTTTATTAATTCTCTTAGACTTTGCACTTGACAATCTATGGATATCGTTAGGAGAAAATTGATGCTGATGAGAACAGTATGCAGAAAAAATACATTTTGGTACAGTCAAACCTCCTTGATGCTTTACTTGCCAAGAGTGATCAACATCAATTATCTTGTAGCCAATCTTGTAGCATATCAATACATTATCAGGAAGAAAGGTTTAATATAAGAATGAAGAAAATGATTGTCAAAGGAAACATTCTCTGATCTTTTATAAAATTCTCCTCACTTATTCCATAAAAAAGGTGTTGAGATCGGTCTGGAGAATTTGTTTATGGGTACTGGAGCACAAAGGGTAAATTTGGACACCAAAGGGACAGAGAAAAGTGCCTGCATTACAGAGGCATCTGCAGTGTAAAGGGAAAAATGAATATTGTTTGAAGTTCTCATCTTATGGACCAAGAGAACTGTCTGTGGTAGAGAGCTTTGTAAGGAGAGATTTGACTTTTAGAGCTTAAAGGTTTTAACAAGCTAACTTCCATTGAGTTAACTGCAAATCCTCCATTTTGTGCCCTGTCTCTGCTGTGTTGTGTTCATCTTTTGCCTAGGGTCAAGTTGTTTCAAGACCAGTTTAAGGGTAATTAATCTAGGTATTGGTGCCATGACAACTGTGTTGGCTGAGTTTTAGCTTAAATCCAGGGTTAATTGCTGTAACAACACATATGTCCTGAGCCAAAGGACAGTAGAATTAGCACAAAAGTGAGGGTTAGTTACCATATGACAACTTACTGGTATAGCCTCTGCGATTTGTTGGATGGGCATTCAAATTAGTACAAACTCCAGTGCTAGTTACCATGACAACTGACATGCCCTGTGTACGTTTAACCCACTTTCACAATGAAAATAAACCCAGGGTGAGGTCAAGAATACTTTATACAAGTAGTGTAATACATTTACAATCAAAGCTATTGTTTTAGACTTTTAAAAGCTACACTTGCATGTTACAATTTTGAAAGTTTCATGGAATTGAACCCTGGCTTTGAACAACTTGGGCCCTGTTTGACGTAAGGTAAACCTGAGGAGCTGAGCTTCTTATAACTTAATTGTTCCAGTCATCCCCCCTTTACCCCCTTCATTTGAAGCTTTCGCCCGATTCCCACCATAATTTATGTAAAATAGTTTCATGCTTTGTAGTTTTATACCTCTCATGGTATTTAGATTTCCAGCGTATGTCAAACAGAATAGAAAACTCTCTCTCTGGATGGGGTGCCACGAGGATCTTATGGCTAATGAAATAATAGATGAATGACCCAGCAACACCCTTGTCCCCAGCCTGAGATCATGCCCTCTTCCTGTCTCCTCACTCCTTGTGGCTAGGGGCATTTCACGATGAGGGACTTTTGTGCCTTAGCAGTGGAAATTCCATACTGATAACATAAATCAATGTTGACATAATTAATCCGGTAGTCATGGGGCTCCAAATGTAAATTTGTTCAATTTTATGTTTCTCCTGGTCAATTATAGTAAAATTTTGGGTTCTTCTGTTAATGACTGAAGCTCTAAAGAAGAATATAATTATTCCACGAATATTGACTCTTTTGCAGTAGATTCATCACGTTTACCTTTGACCTTTGTGCCTTTTTGTCCGTTGTCTGTCGGTCATCAACAAAAGCTAAAACAATATAACTACTATGTTGACCGATCAGAGCTCCTGACCAGATGCTGAACAGATTGTCCTCATCAGTATGGAATTTCTGTCACCGAGGTGCAGACGTCCCTCCTGGCAAAACATCCTTAGAAGTGAGGAGCGAGGAGAGACGGCTGTTTTCGTAGACTGCAGTTAGCCCTGTCCCTAAATATAGCAGGTATTTTTTTTAAAGACTTGTGAAAGTAAAGGTTTCTTTGAGCTTTGTGGCACCAGCTCTGGTTACTAAATTGATTAAAAATTCAACTTTCAAAATTTCTGAATTAGTTGAAAAATTTAGGAACTGTTAGGTTTATCAGGGTGCATTTCTTTGGAAGAATCCAAGTTGAGATCTTTGATCTCAGGTTGTTTGAAGGCGTTATGTAAAAGAAATGATACTCCTGAAAAGAAGGCTTCTGTAGCGATATTTCTTGTTTGTAGACATTGTTTTTGTCATTCAAATGTGCCTGCAGAAACATTTAATTTGGGCCTCCTACACTACTTTATTTTGCAGAAAAGTCAGTTGCCATTTTTACCGTTTATCGATCCAGTTTTAAAGTTATGCATATATTGTGAATCCAGTGGTAGATCCAGGGGAGGGGCCCGTTCCCCCCCCTTATTGTTACACTAAACTGTTGCACGAAGGACTGAAAAAAAAATTTTGGACACCCCCCCCCCCCCCCTGCTTATCTCATGATCTGGATGACCAGGCCCCTCCCTTATTTGAAGGTCTGGATCTGCCACTTGGAATCTATGCTTTTTGGATTGAAAAATCCAGATTTGAATATTCTTGGCAAAGAAATGCAGCCTAAGATTTAACCCTTTAAATCTCAATAGTGACCAACAACAATCTTCTCCTCTCAATACATGATTAAGAAAAAAAGATATGAGAATTATTAATAAAATGATCTCTTTAGGGAAACTGCTTTAATCTTCAAAATTAATGTGTTATCTTAGCTTATTCTTTAAGAAAAATGTACAGAATGTATGGATGTCAGTCCAGGGAATTTGTATGTTGATATTGAGTCTCAAAGGGTTAATTATTAACCCCTTAATCCTATCATGCAAAAAGCGGTGTGCAACAAATGCAGACTGCAGACTTGCAGCTGGCAGGTTAACGAGGTAAATGTTATTGTAAACATTAATGTTTACCTCGTTTACCTGCCAGTTAGACCTCAGTTTCTTTAGCTTGTATATTTTTATTTCTGAAAGAAGGTCATGTGATAATACTCTTAAGAACTGTACCTTTCAAATTTTGTCTTATTCCGTGCCATGGAAATAATTTATGAAAAGACAAAGGGGCGAATTCCCCTGAGACCCTCATTGGCAAAAAAAAATGACCTCAACCAGGTTGTGGAGTCCAGCGATTTTAGCGAAAATAAGGGTTTGGGTTGGGTGCTCAATCTCGCGGACTCTTAAAACGTGTCTTGGTCATTCTTCTGGAAGGGATTTTCGAAAAAAAAGGCCATTTGGGAGTTCCAAAAAAAATCTCACTTTCAAAGCAAGGCTAAGTGCAAAACATTTGTTAATTGGACAATTGCACGATGGCGTCATTTTACTACAACTACCAGAATCCTTGACTTTGTTGTTTTCTTGTACAAATTAAGGCTATTTTTCTTCAACCTCAGCGGGATTGACAAATTTAAATAACAAAGCAAAACCGAAATGAATTCTGGTAGTTGTAGTAAAATATCATCATTGTGCAATTGTCCTTTTGAAAAATGAGTTTTCTTTGCATGACGCGTACAAAAAGTCATTTTCATATCAATAGCTTTGCACCCTCGTTTTGAAACAGAGGCTTAACTGCGTATCCCCAATAAGGTCCCAGAAACTATTGCGGGACGCATTTCGCCTCTAGTTCCCTTCTCGTTTCTTAAGTGGCGAATTGCACTATTGGAATGGTTTTGACGCAGCCAAGTAATACAATGCCAACACAGTCTCGCGCTCATAACAAGCCCCGACTGGACAACAGAACGTTTTCATATGACGTCATGTGATTCAAGTCCCCTATATATGGTTGCGTTCGATTGGGAAATCCGGATTTAGATTTTGAAATCCGGAATCGAACGCAAAATCCGAAAATGGATTTCACCTCCGACAAATCCGTTCTCAGGGTGGATTTCAATTAAGAAATCCAAATCCGGATTTCGTGGATTTCCTTTTTACCATTCGATTGGGAAATCCGGAAAAGGATTTGAGAAACTATTCTCGTGAACGACGGTCTTCTTTTTGCAAATTATGCGTGCGCGTGCAAGAAACTGCTGTTCTTAAGGACAGTTTTTCATTTCCCAATCGAACGGTAAAAAGGAAATCAAAAAAAAATTCGCGTTTGATTACAAATCCGAAATCCGGATTTTAAAATCTAAATCCAGATTTCCAATCGAACGCACCCTTTGTGTCCCAGAACAATGAAACGATGGCCATTTTGGTGTACCAAACCATTCCTGTGGGAGATGAACATTTTGCCATTTAAAACTTTCTTTTGGTCCAATAAATTTCACCACGTGATTGAAAAGTGTTCGTCCCCTTGGGGGAGCCCCCTTCAGAAATTTGGAGGGGCTTTGCATCCAATCAGGGCACGGCAAATTTGAGAAAAGATTATTGTTATTGCAAAATGTCATAATAAAGAGTATTTGAATTGCGACAATCATCAGTAGGTAGAGAAGGAAGTGAACAACATCTTGAAATCTGAACGACATGGGTATCTTCTGCACTTAAACAGGTGAGACAATCTAGTTTTATGAACTTACTCTCTAAACTTATGGCTTACTGTTACTAATACGGCAGTTCAAGACTCACTCATTTGTTTTTAGAGTGAAGTGTCAACTTCCGGCCTCGCGTCAATTTTTCCACTTGGAAAAATGATTTTGATGATTATTAGCAGCAAATAACTGCAAAGATTTGTTAAGTAACGATCTTCGTTCCAGAAAACGGCATTCGCTTCGATCAACGCTACCCAAAACTTAGTGACCGTTTGGAGTTCCCAAAATAAATTGTAGTCACAAAACGGCGAACCAGATCACCTTCAGTCTCATAGAAGACCATCCAGTTGGATGTTTTTTACGTCCCCTTGACGTGTATCCAGGTTTATAAAAGGAACGTACAAGAACTGAAACTTGTTAACAGAGGGAAAAATACAAGTATTAAAAAAATACTATTTTGGCCGGCTTAACTATGTTTACAATGAGGGATTTTTCCCTGCCTCGACCTGCCTTTTTCATTCAAAACCGTGTCTGCCTATTTCAATGATGTATTGTTCAGTTGTGTCTTGGGTCATGCATTAAGCTTTGAGTTCAGTTTGAAAAGGAATTTATCCTGCTGGCTTTGGACATAAAGATAGCCGGTCGGCTGCATTTATCGGACTGACTTCTATACTAGCTGTTCATACCTTTCTCTTAGAATTTATTTCTGAGCTATTCACCGTGTCGGTGCCCGTTATATTTATATCAAACGTTCTTGGAATTCTTTTTTGTCTATTAATGCACCCGACTGCTTTAGGCTATGCTTGAATGCGTAGTTGGGGGGGGGGAGTACTCCATATAATGGCCTATACGGGAAGGTTCCGCCCGACAGGGGCATCTTTTTCAGGCTTCAGGTACAGTCATACCCCGTTAATTCCGAGCACTGAGGGGGCCATAGAAAGTGGGTTGGATTTAGAGAAAATGTAAGGGGCTTTCTTTCCCCAGGGACAAAGCAAACTGTCCGTAACAATGAAATGTAAAGCGGGGCTTGACTGTATATAAAAGGTAATGATTTCACCAGTTGAAGTATAGATGAAAGGGTAGGGAAATATGGCATTTCGATCTGTAAAAAGGCCCACAATTAAAAGGCTAACAAGATGCATTTTTTGGCTGCAAAAAAGTCGCGAAAACGTTCTGGTTTTGTGATGTATTTATATTTCAGAGACAGCGCATTTACTTTACTGTGCAGTTAAGAATGCAAAGTTCTAAACCAGGTATGTGAAGGGGGTACCATTTGTCAATAGAAGGTATACGAAAGAGGCACCTTTTCGGTCAAAATTGGTATATAAAAGGGTAAGGGGTTGGATCTCGGGGTTGAGCCTCCTGGTGTAAAACTTTCGTGAGTACCCCCCGGGCTCTGTAGCCGTCAACACTATTTAGGGTTGTTAAGGAAAAAGCTTCAGAACAATAGAAATTACTAGACCACAGAATCACAATATTTAACTATTTTTTCCACTGTTACCTGCTCAGGCAAGTTAAGGCATGGGTTAAAAGGCTAAAAGACCGACAGAGAATGCAAAGATCTTTTTAATGACGCAGAAGAATCCAAATAAAGGGTTCCACAAAGATATGATAAAATAAATCTCACTAAAATAGTTTTGGAAAATTCATCCCAAGCATCAGCCGATATTCCGTGAACCATGACGTCACAAAATCTGTTTTCTCAAACGGGGCAAGGCTGTTAAACTTGTTTTGGTAGAATAAACGGCGATCGATTATAGTTGGCTTTGGTGTTCGATACGATTTATGAAATGGCGCCCATCTTGGGGCACTGATACCCTGAGACTCGAGAAGACAAACTTCAGGCTAAAAATACATGTCATCAAATTGTCATCAAACTGTCTGGATTGCCAATTAGCCTTGCTGGGTTGATAAAAGTATTTTTATTAACAGTTATTATTAAAGTCTTTTATAAGTCACCTGACCTGTTTTGCTCTACTTAGGTATGCATGCAGGGCTATTTCATAATATCCAGGCCATAGGTAAAACACTGGTGCCTAAGAATATGGGCTGCTCTTTCATATCCTTTCCCCCGTTTTAATTTGAACATTTTGACCGTTAGCGATCATTTGCAGGTCACGTGACTAATATTTCAACAATGAATATGTCACAAATTGTTAAGGTTACCGAGCTAAAACTGTTTACCAAGTTTCATGACGACTGATCAAAACAATCCGTTTCAAATGCCACTTCGCCAAATTATGCAAATTATGAGGTAAACCATGCCTTAACATGCCTGAGTGATAATTTTCATAACAATCACATTAGTTTATGCGATTTGAAGGTTTTACCCTAGTTATCCGTTTGTTAGTAAGATAGGATAGGTTGCACTACTTGTATTCTGGTCCTTGTCATGGAATGTTCGCGTTGCTGCGAACAAAGGAAGTTCTTGGCTACTGATATTGGCCATGGCTTCCAGACTTGAATAGGTGAGGTCAGGGTAAAGGGAAAATGAAATCAATGGATAAATTGATGTTATTAGACATCGCACTGTCCTTCAACACCTCCTTCCGTTTAAAGAAGTTAAAGCAACAAATGCGGGTACAGAAATTGACTTGGCAAGTGTAAAAAAGAAAAGCATGCCTTACAGAACAAAAACTCACCCCTGGATATATCTAATTCACCGTTTGCTGATTGGGAAGTTTCTCAAATACCTTCTAATTACTCAAGCAGTTGAACTTATCTGCCAAACCAACAATGATGCAGCAGTTTTTGA